TTAATACAAAAAATTTTTTAGCAATTTCTGCAGCAACAGCACAAACCTCCAGATTGATAAAAGGGCAGCAGATTTTCATGATTGAGGAGAAAGACGGATAGGAATTGCAGAAACTGGGATAAGCTTCCTCTCTTCTAAATAATAAGAGGTTGCATGTTAGTACTCAATCTATTCTTAGGAAATATACTATATTCCATCAGGATAAAATTTAAAACTAGCATCCGTCTGTTATATTTCAAATTGCCAAGTGCTCTGCGGATTTAAAGCATTGGAAACGTGATTGCATGTTAAATGTACTTATAATGGGTTCAAATATCTGAAACAGAATTTCCAAGAGAGAGAGAGAGAGAGAGAGAGAGAGAGAGAGAGAGAGAGAGAGAGAGAGAGAGAGAGAGAGAGAGTAGCACACACAAAGCCGATACTTGATTGGTGGAACACACACCATTAAAATTAATTAAAATTAGGGGAGTATATTAAGTATTATTTGATTTGAGACAAAAGAAAAAGGTAGTAAATTTCATTTCATAAGTATACGTGTTATCGAAAAGATACGTGGTCAATTTAACAATAATAAAACTACCTAATTTTGATTTATTCAAAATGAGCTGTTTCTCTAAATTTGGATGAATGTCCTCAACAAATCACATTTGTTCAATAAACTTAAAAAACTTTGAATTGCCCCAGGAAAAAAAAAGTTTAACTGTAAGGACTTAAACTTTTTATGATATGTATCGTAATGGAGTTAAAAAGGACGGATTTGATAAATGGGTCGTTTATCCATCAGAATCCGGATACACACACAATTCTTTTTGACCAACAATTGTAACAAAATTGATTCCTGCAAACTCAAGCCTGATCTCCTTCTCGACTCTGATTTTTTGATGTGATTGTTTTGATCTTTCCTCTAATAGTCATCAGTCATCTAAGAGAAGTAAAAAGCAATGAGATTACATCAGTAGTGTAATATTTATTATCACTAGCGTAGTATTTAATATTATCAATTTATGTTGTAGGTAAGAGATTTTTTTTTTCAGTTGCACAAAAAAGTAAACGGCTTTTTTTCCAACATAGTTCCCAAAACTTTCATTCTTAATAGAATAAAATAGGTGCCTTAACTCGTCAGGAGAATCCGAGAAATTAATAAATGTAAGAATAAGATTACTGTTATTTTAATCTCCTAAATAAGTTTAGTTTGATTATTAAAAGAAATTGTATAAACCATCCATATTCAACCTACACAAACTGCTACACATTTTAGACCTCTTGTAAAAAGGACTGCTCGATTAAATATATTTATTGGCCCATTGGGCCTGACTACGAATATTTAGAAGCCCACAGTAGAGGTTTGTTTCTGTAAACCTGTTAATAGAATGACCGCGAAAGTTTCAATCCTCACAGTCCTGCGAGTATGAATCTTCTCTAGGAAATTACTGGGAAAATTCGCCCTTCCTCAGAGAGGTTTCTTTTTGATTTCTTATCGTTATGTTCTGTCGTCTAATCTTTCTGAGAGAATTTAGAAGTAGAAGATTTTGTGATTCATTGTACTTTGTAAGGATTGTGCACAGAAGGTGTTTGATAGAATGTCTAAACCGTTATTATACAGAAGACGTTCGATCTCTTTCGGTCTGGTCCAAATTCTAGAGAAGAATACGTTTAGAGAAATTGAGAATCTGGAGTTGTTGCGTGGAAAATCATCTAGTAGATCGCAATGGGAGTTTGTTCAGGTGAGACACAAGTCTGGTGGAGGATGGAGACCCAAGAAGAAAGTATACCACAGAGTTCATGAGCTCGATAAAGCTATAGAGTTGAAGAAGAAGCCAACTCTGATACTTGAACTCAAATCCATTATTCAAGCGCAGAAACATGGAAGCATTCTTCTAAGGGATCTCGAGAAGCATGTTGGTTTTGTTCACAAGTGGAATTTAATGGCTGCCATCGACAAGTACCCTTCGATATTTTATGTTGGAGGTGGAAACAGAGAACCTCCTTTTGTTATGCTGACTGAGAAAGCTAAAGCGATCGCAGCTGAGGAAGGTGAAGCCACAGAGTCAATGGAACCTATTCTGGTTAAGAATCTCAGGAAGTTATTGATGATGTCGGTTGATTGTCGAGTGCCTTTAGAGAAGGTTGAGTTTATTCAATCTGCGATGGGTTTGCCTCAAGATTTTAAGAGTACATTGATCCCAAAGTACCCAGAATTTTTCTCTTTGAAAGTTATGAATGGAAAAGTTCATCTTGTTTTAGAGAACTGGGATTCCTCACTGGCGATCACTGCACGCGAAGACAGATTATCCCGTGAAGGAGTCCTTGAGCCAACTGAGAACAGAAAGAGGGTTAGGATCACAAAGGATGGTAATTTCTTGGGACGAAACGCGTTTAAGATCTCTTTTCCTCCTGGTTTTAGGCCGAACGCAAGTTATCTAGAGGAATTTGAGAAGTGGCAGAAAATGGAATTTCCATCTCCGTACCTTAACGCGAGAAGATTTGATGCTGCAGATCCTAAAGCTAGGAAACGAGTTGTAGCTGTGCTTCATGAACTGCTCAGTTTAACAATGGAGAAGAGAGTGACGTGCGCTCAATTGGACTCGTTTCACTCCGAGTATCTGCTTCCATCAAGACTAATACTTTGCTTGATAAAGCATCAAGGGATCTTCTACATTACTAACAAAGGAGCAAGGGGTACAGTCTTTCTCAAAGAAGCTTATGCTGGGTCTAATTTGATCGAGAAATGCCCGTTACTATTGTTCCATGATAGATTTGTTGCACTCTGTGGTCGGAGAGAAGTCAGTCTAGGTAATGAAACGCAGTGTTCAAGTGTTATCTCCTAATCTTACATCAAACCAGGGATGTGTACCCCCCCAAGGCATTTTTACCCATTAATTCTGTTCCAGCTAGCAAGGTTCAGTTTATAAGGGCTCTGAACTTTAGAAGCATTTCGCTCTACCATTTCTTCTTACAGTCCATTGTCTTCTCATATGAAGAAAAAAAGAGTACTACTTGTTAAGATATTAACTTTTCGCCAACCAATAGAACCGTAAATACTATCCGTGTTGATTGAGGATGCTAACTTGACGAAAGCCAGAACGTGTCACAGCACCTAATATGGTACCAAGGGAGACGTGACAGGCAGATTGACTATGTACTGTGAATGGGATATGAACTCTCTCGTCCATGTGGATGCAGCTGGTATTATAATACACTTGTTTTTTTCTCTGTGTACACGACTCTCTTGATTGTTTTTATGGAGAAAACGATAACGGAATCTTCTTGGTGTTTACACACGACGGAACATTTATTTGAATGCAGGAAAAAGGGGGTCCAGAACTCATGTGGCTTGTGAAGGCATCATGGGAAAAGAGCCAAAGGGAAGGACAACTAAGTCGCACTCCACAATTCCTCCCATTTTAGACCTGAGTCGCATTCATGTTCAAAAACAAAAAGGTCAGTGTTTTCATTATTAGGCCTTTTCTTTTTTAACAGTTTTATGGTAAAATCCACAGTGCATTATATGAACCAAGTCCTGTCTCGTTCTTTTCTGCTGGCCCTGTTTTTGTTTTGACATTGAAAGCTTTTTTTTTTAATTTCTTGAAGATAAACAACAAAACTCTCTTTTTCATGGTGTTGGATGGTAATAGGCTGCTGATACATCAATTTTTTCTTACGGATAAAGACTTGATAAACACTTGGTTTCTCGTGATAAACTGCGTAGTTAGTTGTCTGTTTTTGTTCTTAGTAAGGTTCCGTGTCTTGTTTGAACATGTTAACTAACCTATATATAGTTGAAACCTATCACTTTGAAATCCATATTAAAAAAAAAACACGTATTGGCACAAAAGAAAATCCAAAGTCAGATTCTTCTTTTTTTTATTTTCTCTCTTTCTTGAAACTTTAACAAGTAAATGGATTCCTGTCCTTGTCATTTGGCATCTCATCCAAATGAAGGGTACACAATTCAAAGCATAAAGCCAAGATCTTGAGGTTGATTGAAGCATCAAGATCAATTAAACACCCGTCTTTGATTTTTTTTGTTTGTTCTCTTTTCCTTTTCTACGGTTTCCATGATAAAGCCAAATCACAGACCAAACGTAAGAATCATCCTATAACATCTCTACGTATCAACCACGAATTGGAATCGATACGCTGATGTTGCATTCGATTACAGATAAACTATGAAAACTAGTGACAAAGACTTTTAAACCACACTAAGATATTTGAATTTTCTTCTTCGAAATACTTAAAAACGCAGTTTCTATTGACTGATTTGGGAAAACTTTGTCTGTATACAGACAAAGACGTGGGCTTTCTTTAAACTAAGGGGAGCCCCAATTAGATACGTTTTGGGATGATGATGCATAATAAACAACTTGACACATAAAAGATCAAACTTTAGAGGCATCATTTTCATGTATGGAGGTTTTGATTTCTTGGGGACAAAATTCTATGGTCCATTATTGCACAGTGGTCCTACAGTCCCAACCATTTTTCTGTGAATTATGTGTACTGTTTTGGACAGAAGAACACATCATGCAATCACCCAATATTATTTTCCTTCGTTGTTTGGTCCAATCTGAAACCCCTCTCTCTCTCCTTTTCCTTTTGAAAAATCGTTTTCAGCATTTCCACAACCCCAATCTAATTCAGTGATCAATAAATAATCAAGTACATTTTCCACAAGTATTTGCACTTCCTCCTCTGTATAGTTATTACACCTTACGTTAATGCATCTTTTTATATTGGTCTAGTTATACTAGCTATTACCATGATTATGCTATAATAATATTGCTTTGTGGTCATTGCTTGGTGTTGATTAAAAGAATAAAGATGCCGTCTTCAGCCTCAAGCTCTTCATGCATGTTTTGTCTTTTTTTTTTACTGTTAGACATTGCTATTTTCAAAAAGAAAATCATAGACATTGTACAAAACTTTTGATTTCTCCATTTTCTCTTTTCTTTTGATACCCATATATATATATTTATTGTTTCTTGATACCCACATCAGCACTTTAGTTACCTTTTTCCCAATAAAATATCTTTTTATTCCATTGACATAGTCCAATCTGATTCCCCTAATAAGTATCCACAAGAAAAAAGAATAGAACTTTCATGTATAAAATAACATTAAACACGTAAACTTTATATAAACCTATTCCATCTTGGATATGATATCTGCCCACTAACCCCAACCAAACTACATAAATGATTTGGTAGTTGGCTTTCTTTCCCTTCTTTTAAAATTTAATTTCTTTTTTTAACTTTGGGATATGTATGGGTGCCTAATATAGACAAGAAGGAACTATTACAAACACTTTTCTCTGTTCAAGAGAGAAAAAGGAGTATATATGAACAGTAAATAGTTGTGGGGATATCAGAGAGAGGGAGAGAGAGTGCAATGATTTTGACATATTCTATAGGTATTCAGATGGGTCTATAACCAAATTACCACTCTTTTATCTCTCTTCTTGCATCATCAAAATCAAGTTCCAAGTTATGTTATGATACATAATAAAATTATAGAATCTGACATAAATTATAATTAGAGGAACATATGCGCAGGTCTGTGGTGATCATAATCATTAATATTTGCTGTGAGAATGGAAAAAATAAAGAAGAATATAAAAAGGGAAACTCTTTGAGGTCTAAATCTAATTCACATGAACTTTGCAGTGTTGTGTTTCAGTGAGATAAGAGTAAGACTGATTGTTAACTATATATATATATTTTTTTTATAGTTCTCTTTATATTATTAATCTTTTGAAAATGGATGGTACTAATGATGAGAAATAAACAAATGTCTTATGGCTTCGTCTGCAGTAACTTCACACCAACTCCACTCAATGTAAAGAGAGAAAAAAGAAAGAGAGATGCCATTTTTCTTTGGCATTGGTAAATCGGTAGGTCATTGATATTCGCACGTTAAAGGAAAACCTAAATGCTCTTAGTGCTTTTTGTGTATCATTTTAAATTTATCCATTTGTGTTTGTCTTTGCCAAATACTCTCTCTTTTCAGATTTTGAATTTGATGAATCAAGTATTATATTCTTAAAGAAATGCTTTATAATGATATGTGGAAACGATTACAATCCATATGTTAGCTGCTAATATATTCGTTTGAAAAAAAAGTAAATTTTTGAATCAAGGGTTGAATAATTTACTGATCAATCAGTCGATCACAAAAATTGGTTTCTGCTAATTTAGACTTCGAAATGGGAAATTCAAGCACTGAAAAAGTCATTGCTTAAAAGAATTTGTTTGTGGGTAAATCCTCTTATTTCGAATTTTGATGTTCCTATCCTATTGTGGGATTGTGATTCCAATTCACATTATTGACAAGAGTGTTAAAAGGTTCAAAGAGGTGACAATGTTTTTGTTCCCATTTGGGCTCGTTTATTCATAGTTTGTAGTCAAATCAAATTGATGGAATTAGGGGTGAAAAATGATAAGTGGGACCCGTTTCCCAACAATAAGATACAATTGCTCATTAATTTATTAATTTAATATTTTTCTTAGGACAAAGAACAAAAAAGGCAAAAGCTACCAAAATCAATAGGGTAGTGAGGTTGGACCATTTCATGAGTGCCCCCTTTCGCAAGGTAATCTATAAAGTTTTGGTGTTCCCCATCATGACCCCTCTTCACATCTATATCTCCACTTTTAATTATTCCCAATGACATTTAATTTTGATGTAATCTTATAATCTTTTATATTATATCGTGTATAGCTGTATATATATATATATATATTCCACTATGTACAATATAATAATATATGTGTGTTAATTAAACGTTTAGTTTAGTGGTTATAGGTTTGCATTACTGAACTGACATGATATATGTTTCCACGGTTTAATTACATATATTCCATTAACCTGAATCAGCATTTTAGGTCTTTTTCAACCCCTAATCTGACTTTTATTGTATAAATGCATAAAAGTTGGATTGCCATTTGAGCTGAATAGCTTTCTTAAAAAAATGGGATGAGAGCTTGAATATATATAAAATCAAATAGTATTTTTAATTAACAATTTTCACTGCTCCAAAAAGTACTATTGAAATTGTAGTAATTAAAATAAAAAAAAATCTTTAAAAAGAGAGAGAAAAACCCCACCAAAGCTGAAATATTGGACAAAAAAATGGGTGTAAATAAATAAAAAATAATATCTAAAATTGAAGTGGACAAGTTGCATGACACAAACCCTAACACCACAACATTTGCATATCCTATTACTTTACACCAAGTCTTCCACTTTTGCTTCGTTTGTTTCGCTTATATATTAATTATTAAATAAAAGCATAACCGTAGGGAAATGGTCCTTAGATTCTTCAAAAGTTTCCAAATAATAAAGTAATCAAAATAAACATCAATCGGTCAAGCGTCACTCTCTCTTTTATTTTTTTTGGTTGTAGCTTTGTTTTTGCTTGAATTGTTGCTTAGTGTGTACGTGACGTTTGGTTTCCCATCACATACTCTTACTCCAGTTTCAAAATTACAATTTTTTTTTTAAAACTCAAAATTACAATTTTTTTAAAAATCTCAAAAGTTGGATAAAGTTAGAAGAGGATTGCACCGTGATTGTTCTAACCAGTTAGTGCAATATATATCTCACTTGGTAATTAAAAACTATTTCTGGAGGAAGTTGAATCTGTATTTTCGAGTTCAAGTCTGTATTGGACATAAATTTTTATGTATCTAGAAACATTTTATATATTATAATATAATTTCCAAGAGTTGTCAAAATAATATATAATTTCAAAAAAAAAAATTTATCTTGTACAAGCGCGCGAGCTTAGAATATAATTAATATGTATTATTAGTATATTTTGGATAAAAAAAATTATGGGGCAAAGGTTGGGAAATTCCTAGTCATAAAATAAAGAAATTATAGTACATTCATTTTTTATATCCCTGTAAAAATGTGTTTTGTCTTCTCCCCTTATATAGAAATCGTTCCTCGATAGGTTAAGAAAAAAAAGATACCGTTCCTCCATATTTGACTAGATTTCTATTTCAAAGCATGCAACAATACAAACACTAGATCATATGTTAATGTGTATGAGTAAGTAATGTTACAATATTGATAGTGGATGATTTAACCAAGTAGGTTTAAATATTTTATTTACTTTCGATCTTGGAAAAATAGCTTATTAGTTTTGTGTCTAACTTAACGTGTTTTTGAAAGACTGGTTAATTAAAACAAGTAGATGATATTGAACGTTTCAAAATGTCATGATTTAGAATTTTGAACCTCCATTGGTTGATCCGCCTGTGAAGGCACAAAGATGTCTGCATCTAAATCTAATAATATACAAATCTGAAATTCCACTTAGAATCGTATGATTAACATAATAAACCAATATTTTAGGCTTTGATTTTCTCTAGGCACAAAAATATAACTAAACATGAGGAAAAGAGAAGATGATAAATTGGCTTTAGGACTTTTTATTCGTGCGACGAGTATATCCTCTTTAATGTTGGCATGATCTATTCGCATCGCTTTCTCGTGTGTTCCATTGTTTCTTTTTATTTTTATATCTCTATATCATATTTTCAATAAAATGCCATAGTTTTCAATAATATTCAGCAGATTAATCATGTATAAACATCTGTTAAAACAGTGTTATAAAAAAACATCTGTTAAATCAACTTTGAAATCACAGTTATACAATTTGATTAAAATTAACTAGTCTTGTCATACCCACTGGATTGAACTATACTAAACATATCTTCTAGTTGTATTAGACTATTAGTTGTTGTGAAATGTATTCGTATAGCGATGGTTTTACTAGTTTAATTTGATGCTTAGTTTCGAGCCAAAAAATCATGTTTTACTTAAATCAGGTACAAAAATCGAGCCAAAAATCATGTATTAGTTGTTTTTTTTTGTTTATTATATTTTGTTTTTTTTTTAAGTATAACATTTATATAGATTTTCTTTGTTCGCATTTGATTATATTCTTAAGATTTTCTTTATTCTACTCAAATTTTCTTTAGTTAGATTTGAGTAGTTCGGACCTAAGGATTATGATTTTTTTATATTGCTATAAATAGAATCATATATATAAAATATATATATATATAATATATATATATATAAAATTAATTTTGCTTCAAAGTTCTTTAATTATGTAAAAAATTTGCTAGATAACAAATGGGGAGAATCGAGGGAAAAAAACAAAACGAGAAAATAATTTGTTTTTTGAAAGGAAGAAGAGAGAGAAAGTGTCAGGAGGAGTACGCAGGACGAACAACAGCGACATTTGCGCGCGTCCGACGTGTCAGCTTTTTACCTCTTCACTGTCTCTTTCCTCCTCTTCCCTCTCTCACGCGTCTTTGCCGGCGCGTGTCTTACAAGCCCTACCAGTGTACTGTTCTGGGGTCCCATTTCAGCACCAATTATCGTATTTGTTACTTTATTATTATTTTTTCCTCTAGTTTTGGGATTATTGTTTTCGTGATCCTTCCAAATAATAATCATCATCACATATGCGTCTTAATTAAACAAGTAGTATAAAACAAATACAGATAGTAAGATAATCTTTTCTGTTTCAGTATTTGAATCCCTCTTTTTATATATTTTCTTAGTTTAGTAACAGAATTCTCTTGGATTCACTTATCAAAATATCTATATAATTAAACGGTATTTATGGTAAGATAAACGGAATGCATATGAAATATCTAAAAAACAGCGGGATTTTTTCTTCCTTTGTAGTAAAGGTTTTCCTCTAATGATCTTGATTTCTTAGCTAAAGAATATCCAGCTGATTCTTACAACTTTTTAAAGAGAAAAAAAATAAAAATAAAAAAATTCCATAATTTTCCATAGACGGGGTCAAGGTGACATGTTGACATGAACGCTAGCGTTTTTGGGAGATCTACAAAGGGGACACGTGTGCACACTGGACCCACAGACTCCACATAAGCACAAGTGTCTGCATGGTAAGAGCAACACACACGATTCCTCCTCCCCACAGTTTCTGCACATCCTACCTTTCGCTGCCTTATCATGCGCCTCATGACCTAGCGTGCGCCTAACCGTTTCTTCACCCGAGCTGCTTCCGCACCACGACTGCGCATCGTCGTCGTCGTCGGGGTTCACGTTAGCTAATCCCGCGCCGGGTACGCTACGCATGTCATTAACCTGCGCCAGGACCTGCTCGAGGTTGTTGCGGAGGTTGTTGGCGGTGGCTTCGTTGGTCTGAGCGAGATCCCGCCAGATTTGATTCTCGACGGAGAGTGACCTCACGCGCTCCTCAAGCGCGTGGTTTATCTTGCCGATCCTCTCTCTTTCTTCTTCTTTGACTCGGAGCCTTTTCACCAGCCCGTGCTCTATAGCTTCCATTATCGCCCTCGCTTGCCTCTTCCTCTTTTCCTGAATCTCGAATTTCACTCTCTCCATCTGATCAGAAAAAGAAATCAATAGAGCAGCCATTGATCGTCGCACATTGCTTAAAATAATGAAGCGGTTTCTTAAGAGAGACTTACATGAAGGGAGACGAATCGATCGATTTCGTGCTGTTGTTGATTGATGTGAGAGGAGATATCGACGTCTTGACCGAGAAACGAAAAAGGAGTAGTAGCAGTAACGCATGATGATGATGATGATCTGTGTTGGTTCTGATGAACAAGATGATGATAGTAATTCGATCGGGAATCTCTGGAGCGTTTTCTCGTCGGTGAAGGGAAAAAATCACAGTCGACATTGGCACCATCTGCGTAGTAAGTGAATGAATCAGCTGTTGTGGGAATAGTATCAGCGGTGGTGGAGCCGCCGTACATATGAAGAAGAGGAGGCGAATCGTGTGTCACCGAGAAAGGTGAAACGCCGCTGTATCCGTTTTGATTATTGTTCGTGCAGAAACCGCCATTAGTTGGTTCCATGGAGGCGTTGTAACTCATCGTTAAATCTCTGCAGAAACAGTAAAATAAAAAAAGATTCAGTTGAGAATCATCAATAAACACCACGAAGGCAAGTACTCCAAAGAATCGGATCCCAAAAATCAACAGAGCGTTATAAACCTGTTGGAGAAGAGTTGAGGAGGAGAGAGAAGCAGATGGTGAGCATCGACGGCCATGAGAGGCAGGAAGGTTTATAGAGAGAGAAGGAGGAGAAGGAGGAAGTTTAAAAGAGATAGAAAAATTAGAAATGCATGCGTTTCGGTTTTTGGTTTTTGATGCTTTGATGTGCGTGAAGAGAGCCTTGGTTTTCTTTTATTCTTTTCTTTTCAAAGACCAAATCGAAACGAACCTCAACCAAATGGTTGTTTCCTATTTATACACATCGACATATAGAGAAAGATGAAAAAAAGAAGAAGGAGAGAGAGGGAGAGAGAGAAAAACCCAAATTTTAGAAAATGATCATTTTTGTTCAAAGGTAAACAATTCTAAATCTATATAACATACTGAATTTAATTAACCTACCATTTTCTTTGGGTTTGAAAATATATGTTGATTTTGTTATACATCTTTTTGGTAAATGTTTTTCCATAAACTTCACGTTTTAACACGTTTTCAGAAATTCAATAGTTAATTTTTAGGCGCAATTTTTGGTCATTTAGTAACCTAATGCTCTGATTGAATTTAATCTTGTTTATTGTTGTTCTAATTTAAATTTAATAAGATTTATATCCAACAGATTTTTGTCTATCGGTTATTGTGATAATTCTGAAATACAATTTGTCGGTTAGAACATAATATTTTAAGTGGTAACTTGGAGGGGAATTGGCGAAAGCTTATTTTAAATCGGATTCGGTTATGTTTTTTGATCATAGTATTATTAGGAGTAACGCTCGGAATCGGTTTTGTTTTTTTTTTTTCAACTTCATCACCGTGCCGAGTAAATAGAGTAGATCAGTTGGGCGTGAATTTAGCGCCATTATAGGGGAAGTTTAGGACATTTACCACCGTAAAAAGAGGGAATTTACTTTTCTTGGATAAATCATGCAATTAATATACGACACGTGTAAAAAGGTCGAAGGAGTCATGCGTGTTGCCATGTAAGCATTCCAGCGTGGCAAACATTTTTATTCGTACCCACAATTTGTCTTTTGTACGGTCCGTTAAAATGGGTAAAATCCTACTTTTTCCGTTTTTGTACGAGTTTGGCGCCATGTGATGCCACGTGGTGAAATATTCTGGCTACTTCTGTTTGACCCTTTCTTTGACCCTTTTTTTTTTCTATTTTATCTAACATCAACAACAAGGATAATTTATTAACAGAGGCCATTTTATTTCAGTAAATATATGATATTTTATTTAATAATAAAACCACGACTATTTTTTGTTTATTAGTTAATACCTATATTTATTTAGATCAGGAAATAATAGCTTGTTATTATATTCAATTTTCTTTAAGTAAATAACAGTGTGATAATATGTAAATTAAAGATAGAGTATTTTATTCATGCGATTTTGATAATGAAGAACTCTAGTTTAATTTCAACTGGTTTAATTATCCTTGAATTTAAATCAAATATTTATTTGGTTCAAGTATTAATTAATAAACTAAAAATTGAAGTATATGTATAAACCCAGAGAACCCAATAGGCGCAGAAAGAGAGAGATGAGACATTTTCTTATGAAGATGAGAATCAGATAGAAAGTAACACACACAAGAATTAATTTATGTCCCTTTTACTTTCTTTTTTCTACAAGTCTTCTTTACATTTTTTGTGTGCTTTGTTATATTTCCCACACCTTAAAAGTAAAAATATTATGCCTTTGTCTTTTATAAGCTTTCAAATTTCCACCATCTTAATTTGTTTTACAAAGGCCAATTTCTTAAAAGTGGATTTTGTAAAGTAAAAGAGTGGCCAAGGTGCACAACTTAAAGACATGTTTGGTTCTCTCAAATATTATCAATATTGGTCTTCGTTCGAATTTTTCATGTATTATGAGACGACCAACAATATAATGAGACATTAATTAATGGGCGACTGTCTGATGCAACTAATCAAATGTAATATTTACAATGCTAAGAAAAAACTAGAAATTTTGAATTGCGGGTTTATTCCTTGTTGATTGAAAAACAAGTGACATTGCACCTTGACTTTGTTGTATATATGGCATCCTTTATTTTCACTTTAAATGACTTTAGTTTCTCACCTTTTTTTTTGGTTTTTTTTTTCTTCTTCTTATTTGATTCAACTTAAAGTTGGTGTTGGTGTTATTCATGTGATATCAACATTTCAAAAAGAAAACAATAAAACCCACAACCATTGTAAGAATCTTAAAGGGTGCCTTACCTGGAAACTTCATCTTTCCTTAAAGGCACCACAATGATTCAATTTGTTGTAAAGAAAGAATTCGTGCCATTTGTGTAATGTATACCATATTCTTATATCTCCCGGTTCATATACACAGTTATTCGTCTATCAAAGTTTTTGAAACTTGTGACTTTAATTATACTTTCGTTCCAACATCATATCACACACCTAGATCTTACAACAATTCATATGGGGCTTCACTGGATGTGTAAAGCTCCCCATTAAGGGCATGTGTTTGAATTAATTGTTGGGGCTTGTTAGTGCATACATATCACATGTACTATGGTCCATACATGAGAAGCTCGTGACCTAATATATTACATCATATATTCATATTAATCCTTAGACATTTACATGTATTAATAATGCACCAATACATACTTGGATCTAAACTCTTAATCAGAAGATAGATAGCATATGGATTGGGATTCACTATCATGATTAACGAGGATAAGAATCGTGATCTAAACCCTCTTACAGAATTTCTTGTTTCGGTTAAGTGTTGATGAAGTCTTCTTTCGAGACCTTACAATTACGGACCATAGATCCATTATGACTTATGAACTCTGGTGACAACTGTTGTAATCCAATTTTCAATATACACAATGTATGAAAGTAACATCGTCTTATATTAGACGAAGTACACATCCAATTACACAGTGGTTAGAGATTAAATGGACTCTCAGTAATAGGATTTGTAATAGTAGTTGACAATTATTACGTGTGGTGTTTATTGGTAACTATCTCAAGAAGATAGATGCATATGATAAAATAAGAGTTAGGTTTGAGAGGTCCCGATTTAATTAAAGAAGATGTGTGTGTGTGTTGGGCCATCACTCTTTCTTGCTCCTCAAAAAAATACCTTACTTAGCCGTATCATCGAAACTTAACTTTCATTATAACAAGATTTCAGAATTTCATTCATTTTCTATTCTAAAAATCGTTGCCCCATTAGGAGACAAGAGAAGAGGTTCTGCAAAAGACTTTAACTTGGAGTCATGTGTGGTTGTGCTTATGGACAGTGTGTGGTCCCTTTATTATTATTTTTTTTTATTTTTTTAGTTCAAATAAAATAACATCAAAAATAAAAATAAAAATAAAAATCAAATAAAGGAACCAATGTGTAGATTGCATGATTCCCACTACTGCTTTCAATCTCATCTTCTGCTAAAAATGCATTATATCCCCACCACCACTTTTAATTCATCCAGACAAAATACGTAATAAATGTATATATATTTATATATTAAAATGTATATATGAATACGAGGAGAGCTATTCATGGAAATGAAATTTAAACGTACTGACTTGTTACCATCAGATCATGAACCACATTAACTCCAACCAAAAAGACAAAGACAAAGGTGGTGGTTATTGTTGTTGTCAGAATCACTGATTCACTTTCACCAAATCAAGAATTGGTTAATCAGTTTGAATCAAAAGTATAGATTAGACAACAGGTTATGTCTTGTTCTTTAAAGAATCTTACACAAACCCATTACTACATGAGCCTACTACACCAGGTTATGTCTTGTTCTTTAAAGAATCTTACACAAACCCAATACTACATGAGCCTACTACAACTTCAAGTCCCTACCTTGACGAGACCAATCAGTCACATTCGTACGAACTAAACCAGTTAATGAAAGCACGATTGATACTTGCAAGGTCTCTCATTTGGTCACTCTAAACTTTCTTTATAAAGATTGGAGATATGATACTTGGTTCTTGGGAGGTGACGGTGAGCTTGCTACTGTTGCTGCTCCTCCTCCTCCCTCTCAAAGGCCTACGCGTATATATCATAATCTCACAAGTTATTTTAACTACAGTACGTTTTATAATGCCTTTCAATAAAAGCAACTGATAGAAAAGACAAGGCCAAACACCTCATGACACAAAATTGCATCAAGATATGTAGTCAAAAGACAAGGCCTAATGTGAAGGTTTCACTGAACGCATAGCAAGAGGAATGGGATAAACTCAACGTTCCTACACTTAACTTAACTAGGACCTTCTTCCAAAAAAACTAGCTTAACCATGTGTTCCCACAGTAAACTAGCTTGACCATCAAAAATAATACGAGAGTAAAGTGATAGTAGAACAGTCTTACCTCTTAGGACTGCGTCTACTTGATATCCTTCTAGGAGCCTGTAAGTCCACACAAGCTAGAGCGTCAACACATAACTCAACGAGGCATCTCTTTATTTATTTAGCTGAAAACGGGTCTGCAACAAGCCATACCTTACGGGCGATTGGGGAACTAGATTACATTGTCAGTGTGTGTTATATAATAGAGTACGATTACAATGAACAAACACTAGTATGTAAGGAGCTAAAATAACAGAATCCACATAGATCTTGGCATACTGGGCTATCGTTTATTGAAAACTGGCACGCCACCATAAGCTACTATTTCAGAATAAGACAAAGCAGGATCTCGAACCATACTCATGAGCTAGGAGTTTTATATGCATTCAAGAAATAATCCATCAAACGAAAACAAATACAACGTGGGCAGAACATCAATAAAATTGAACGCTGGTTTCCCCAGCTCCATACGGTTATAAACAAGTTTATCTCCTCCTCTAATTACTATACCGCAGTTCATAAGCTTGTGTGAACCAAATCTCTAAGCTAGTTGGGCAACAATTTCTTCTATGTGTGAAGAAGTGAACCTCTCTCTTTTTACAGTGTACAAAGAATCAAAAAACAAAAAAAATACTATGTTCAGATAAAAACAGATATGTGATTTTTCTTACAAGTTCACAATGTAATCACCTGAAACGCTTTGTGATAGAGAGGACACAGGTTCATAATCGTAGACCAATTATCAATGCAATCAAAGCAGAACCTAAATATTTAATCAATTATCAGTCTGTCCTCGATAAACATCTCATCAAACACAAAGCATGATAAATATATTGCAAGAAATGATCTTCAAAGAACTGAAGTAATTCTAAGGACTATGTAAACTTTGGCAGATTAAGAAATGTAATGCACAAAGAAAACAAGCTATTACCAGTGCTGACAACAATCAAGAACCTCTTAACAATAATTATATCAATGCATATCCCACATCTTTCCCCTTCAATTCAAGCTACATGTTAAACGAAAATTGAATGAAAATGAGAGAACTAATAACGCATTACCACATTTTGTTAAAATTTCAAGTTATTAACAAAGATTTCGTTAGTTGTTAAGAGCTCAAAATGCCCCTTCAACATTACCTTTACCTTGTTGATTCCGACTAAGTCCAAAATTTGGAGAGGATAGATGGGAAGAGCGTTTGAAGGAATCCAAAGCCCACTAAAACGTCTGAGAGAAGAGGAAGAGGAGACGAATCGAGTTTGTAATTTGTTTCATTTGGAAACGTATCAAGGAAGAACACTCGAAGAAATGTCGAGATTATTATTTTTTTAACAGACACGTGGCATTCTTTGATGCAGTACATTAGATTAGATTAGATTATTGATTGGCTTTGTTATAGTTCTCTGCAATATAAAAATAATTAAATTTACAGGATTTTTTTTTTTTAATTATTCGAAAAGCAATAATCTCTGTATCAATCAATCATAAAAAAGAATTAGGCATCGATATATCTTCCTCATTTAGGGTTCTGCTGCGACTTTTCCTTCTTCTCCGTATCTCTTTCTCTGCTTCCGTCACGGGAGCCGATATGTATTGTTCTCACTAGGAACCTCGTTACTCTGATTGGATTCGATCGTCAATCGATCTCCATTTCATTAAGCGTTTAGGGATTTCGGATTCTCGAGTTTCTTTTTTTGATATTTAGGTAGCGTATTTAGGGATCGAATTTCTCCGAGACAAATCTTGTGTTTAGAATCTGATTCACCTCGATTTCTTAGTTTGAAAGCAGTTAATTAGAGGTTTTCAGACTAATTAGGGATTGGGATTTGGATACGGTATCGGTTATGGACGCTTTTGGAATGGGAAGCAGCATAAATCAAGCTCCCGGAACCGAGGATCTTAAGAAAGTTGGAGACAATCCTACAGGTTTGTTTTTCTTCTCTTTTGAATTCGGTTTGTTCTTCTCCAGATAGTTTTTGTGGTTTGAATCTGGATCTAGTTTGATTTAGTTCTTCCAACTGTGGAGGAGTATATCGAACTTGAATTTTCTCCGTTAGTTGATTCTTTTGACTTCACTCGTCATTATTTTCCCTTTGGTTTCATTGCCTTGTACTCCCACGAAGAAGAGGATTAGGGAAGATTTAGTTGCTATTTCAAGCTTGAACATTCTCCACTGTCTTTTTATGGTGAAATCTAAAACAATATTGTACCTGTTGAGATTCTCTCTGGTAGTGAACTTTGTGGAAGAAAGTTTTACATCTTCGCATTCCGTTTTTCTTAAAATGACACTTGCATCAGAGTCTTATAGTTTCTCGTCTCTGTTTTCGGGAATTATCTAAATGTTGGGTTCTTTGGTGTAGGTAATTCGGTGTTTGATGCATCTCAGTATGCCTTTTTTGGGAACGATGTTGTCGAGGAAGTTGAGCTAGGTGGATTGGACGAGGAAGATGAGATATTGTCTTTCACTGGAATAGGCGAAGACTTTTCATTTGATAAGGAAGAGGTTAGTCTTACCCTATTTCTCTCTTGCTAGCATCTTTTCTTGTAAGAAACCAGGGAGCTCTATATTTGGCAGAGATGAAGCTTTTTCTTCGGTTTTATATTCTCGGTTCATTTACTGGAGTGACTTACGATTCCTCCCCAATATATTCAGGTTGAAGATTCAAGACCTTTTTCGGACGTTGATGATCTTGCTAATACCTTTTCAAAGGTTAGCTAGCTTATACACATGATAATTGATCATACATGCATCCGACAATTCTTTTTTTCTATTTCATTTCAACTTTAAAATGTTAGATCGCTTCGAATAAGCTTGTGACCGACCTGAGGATTTTTGTCTATGCTGTTACAGTTGAATAGGGATCCTGATGTATATAGAAACACGGGACCAATCACTGACAGGCGATCAATACAGAGTGAGTTTCATATGTTCTGTAGTGTTGTCTCAAAATCCTTGTGAAGTACTACATTATCTTTTATGCATTCACATTTATTTAAGATTTCATGTACTGTCTGTAATACTTTGTAATGTAGCTTTACTTGGTTCTTCAAGTACTGAGATCTAGGAAATTACAGTGCATATATATCAAATCTCTGTCCTCTATATTACTTTGCCTTGATGATTTAGAGTAAACTGTTTTTCTTCCGTTTTCCATAATAATATTTTATTATATATCTTTTTTCTACGTAGTAAATGCATTTCCATGCTTTTACATCTATCTTGCAAGCAAGGCTTTAGTTTGTGGTTTAACAGTTTAATACATATATTTCTTGTTCTCAGATTCTTTAGCACCTGAGTGGACTCGTGGGGAGGAGTTGCCAGATTGGTATGGCCAGCAGATACTAGATTCTGATGCTATCAAAGATGACAAGGCGTTGTCGGCACAGCCTTTTTCGGCTCTCGACCCTAACAGAACAACACCGTATCTCGAACCACAACGTCAGCTGCATCAAAACCACAATCAACAACAGTTTCCCAGTGAACCAATTCGTGTCCCGAAGTCATCTTTTGTTTCATACCCGCCTCCAGGCAGCATATCACCAGATCAGCGTTTAGGACACCCAAATATACCTTATCATTCTGGTGGGCCTCAAATGGGATCGCCCAACTTTTCTCAGTTTCCAAATTTGCAGCCTCCGTTGACTGGCATGCATCGTGGATCTCCCCAGCTCACTGGAAACATGTCTCAGTTTCGTCCTGCTCTTCCTCTGAATAATCGCCCTCCGGCTCAATGGATAAATCGACAAAATATGCATTCTGGTGATAATGCTGGGATCATGAATAACGCGATGCTACAACAGCCGCCTCATCAAAACGGTTTGATGCCCCCTCAGATGCAGGGATCTCAGAATAGGTTACAACAACATCCAATGCAGCCTCAGTTATTTAGTCCCCATCTTTCTCGATCATCATCCACTGGAAATTATGATGGAATGCTTGGGTTTGTTGATCCGAGGGAAGCAAGACCAGGGTCGGCTCAAGGCAACAGACAGAACTTGCGTTTTCATCAACAAGGCTTTGATGGTGGCGTTCAGAGGAGATATAGTGGGCGGCCTCCATTCCGGTCTAAATGTATGTCAGCAGAGGAGATAGAAAATATACTGAGAATGCAGCTTGTTGCGACACACAGCAATGATCCTTATGTTGATGATTACTACCACCAAGCCTGTCTGGCTAAGAAATCTGCAGGTGCAAAACTGAGACATCATTTCTGTCCAAATCATTTGAGGGACCTCCATCCGCGTGCACGGACAAACAATGAGCCCCATGCTTTTCTTCAGGTTGAAGCTCTTGGTAGAGTTCCTTTCTCTTCGATCCGCAGGCCTCGTCCCCTACTTGAAGTGGACCCTCCGAATTCAACTAAATCTGATAATATGGAGCACAAAGCTACCGATAAACCCCTTGATCAAGAACCCCTGCTTGCAGCTAGAGTGTACATTGAGGATGGTCTTAATCTTCTCCTTGATGTTGATGATATAGATCGTTTCTTAGAGTTTAACCAGCTCCAGGATGGAGGAAACCAGTTGAAACAAAGACGGCAAGCTTTGTTGGAAAGCCTTGCGGTTTCACTGCAGCTCGTTGATCCCCTTGCCAAGAATGGGCAAAACCGGTCCCAGGATGATTTTCTCTTTCTAAGGATTATCTCTCTTCCAAAGGGTCGGAAACTACTTATAAGATATCTTCAGCTTATTTTCCCTGGCAGCGACCTAATGCGGATAGTTTGCATGGCCATTTTCCGTCATTTAAGGTCATTGTTCGGAGTCCTCTCACCGGATCCCGATATCAGCAAAACCACAAACAAGCTTGCAAAAGTTGTAAGCTTGTGCATTCACAACATGGATTTAGGACCGATAAGCGCATGTCTAGCAGCAGTTTCATGTTCTTCTGAGCAGCCACCGCTCCGTCCTATAGGCAGTCCTGTTGGAGACGGAGCTTCCACGGTACTGAAATCTACACTGGACCGAGCTTCTGAGCTTCTCCGGGCTAGTAACATCAACAACGCGGGCATGGCTCTATGGCGTGCTTCCTTTACTGAGTTCTTTAACCTTCTGATGAAGTATTGCATCAGCAAATACGACAGTATCATGCAGAGTTTGAATTCGCAATTGCAACCGCATCTTGCTACTGAGATATCTGATGCAGCTGCTCAAGCCATTGTCCGCGAAATGCCGATTGAGCTTCTACGTTCGAGTTTCCCACACATTGATGAGCAGCAAAAGAGAATACTAATGGAGTTTCTGAAACGATCTATGCTAGGAAGCCAGAAACCGAGCCAGTCTTGAGTTGATAGTATCGAGATGATTGAAGCAGTATAGAATCAAGAAACCTTATCGCGATGTCAAAATATATGAAGCTTAAGAGCAATTATTGTAGAAACCGCGACAAGAAAGGTAGAGAGAATCGGTTTCAAACTCCTTTTTTTTTATTTTTTAATCGCAGCAGAGAGGATTCTTCCTTCAAATGGACAAAAAGACAGTTTTTGTGTCTTCTTGAGAGAAAGCAGTGGAGAAAAACTTTGGGTCTCTTGTACAGAGAAAAAGAGTCTTTAGCTTTGCAGAACGTTGTAGCAATGGAGAGTTTTCAGGCATCTGTGTGTTTCTGTCCTCTGTTTAGTTTATCTCATTGTGGTTTCGATTTTTGTTTTTGAAACTTTTTTTGTGTTTTTGATAATTCGACCAATAAACATTTGTAGTTGATGTTTTTGGTGATGAAAGCTATTTGTTCTTCATATAATCTTCTGACAAGCAAAGAGAGCGTGGTTACCACGCGCGTGTGTTTGGCACGTGGATAACAGAGGCGGAGGAAAAGAGGAAAGAACACAAGAAAGAAGAATTAATCCGACTCGCATTTGATTTGATTTGAGTGGAAAGTACGTTATGATCCTTTTTATTTCTGGGTTCTGCGTATAAACTAAAAACCCAAAACTTTCATTTCATCTCTCTTTCCCAGTTTTCTGATTGCTGTCCGATTTTAGGCCAATGTCGACTCTATTGAACTCAGTCTTATCCATGGCGGCAAATCCATCTCCGGAGTCGCCGAGAAAAGCCCTAGGGTTTGTTTCCCACATCCCCACCGGTTACCTCCACTTCTCCTCCGTCAATAAAGGTGTCGCTCGGGTTTTAGCTTCCACCCAGATAACGTTATCCCCCAAAGACTCCGCCTTTACCGTAACTGGATCCAGCTGGAAACCCGACTTCGGTTCTGGTTCCGGGTCGTTTTCTGTTGACCCGAGAAGCGACGAGCCGAGTCTGAACGATACTTTCTCTCATCTCGAAGGTTTAGTCACGGAAGGGCGTAAACCCAATGTAGCTCACTCTACTCAGCTCTTGTACGATCTCTGCAAAGCCAACAGATTGAAGAAAGCGATTCGTGTGATTGAGCTTATGGTTAGCTCCGGGATTATACCCGATGCATCCGCTTACACTTATCTGGTTAATCAGCTTTGCAAGAGAGGTAACGTTGGTTACGCGATGCAGCTTGTTGAGAAAATGGAGGATCATGGTTTTCCTTCGAACACCGTTACCTACAATGCCTTGGTTCGAGGTCTATGTATGCTTGGTAGCTTAAACCAGAGCTTGCAGTTTGTTGAGAGGTTGATGCAGAAAGGTTTAGCTCCAAATGCTTTCACTTACTCGTTCTTGCTTGAGGCTGCTTATAAGGAACGAGGAGCTGATGAAGCCGTTAAGCTCTTAGATGACATCATTGCCAAAGGCGGTGAACCCAATTTGGTTACCTATAATGTGCTTTTGACTGGTTTCTGTAAAGAAGGAAGAACAGATGATGCCATGAAGCTGTTCAGGGACTTGCCTGCAAAAGGTTTTAAGCCAAATGTTGTGAGTTATAACATTTTGCTGAGGTGTCTGTGCTGTGATGGTAGGTGGGAGGAGGCGAATTCGCTGTTGGCTGAGATGGACGGTGGAGATCGGTCTCCTTCCGTGGTAACCTATAACATATTGATAAACTCGTTAGCTTTTCATGGAAGAACAGAGCAGGCAATGGAGGTTTTGAATGAGATGAGTAAAGGAAACCATCAGTTTAGAGTCACTGCCACGAGCTATAACCCTGTAATCGCGCGTTTGTGCAAGGAAGGGAAAGTTGATCTTGTGGTGAAATGTCTAGACGAGATGATATACCGGCGTTGTAGACCAAACGAAGGAACGTACAACGCGATAGGAGCGTTATGCGAGCATAACAACAAGGTGCAAGAAGCGTTCTACATAATACAGAGCTTGAGCAACAAGCAGAAATGCTGCACGCACGATTTCTACAAGAGCGTAATCACAAGTCTGTGCAGGAAAGGAAACACCTTTGCAGCGTTTCAGCTCTTGTACGAGATGACTAGGTGCGGGTTTGATCCTGACTCGCACACCTACTCGTCTCTGATCAGAGGGCTGTGTTTGGAAGGGATGTTTAGAGGAGCAATGGAGGTTTTGTCGATAATGGAGGAGAGCGAGCACTATAGACCAACGGTGGATAACTTTAACGCAATGATTCTTGGGTTTTGCAAGACGAGGAGGACAGATTTGGCAATGGAGGTGTTTGAGATGATGGTTGAGAAGAAGAGAATGCCGAATGAGACAACCTATGCGATAATCGTTGAAGGGATAGCTCATGAGGATGAATTGGAGCTAGCGAAACAAGTTCTTGAGGAGCTCCGATCGCGTAAGGTCGTGGGACAGAATGCAGTAGATAGGATTGTCATGCAGTTTAATTTAGATGTATAAATGCTATTTCTCATATACACATTTTTTCGTTTTTTTGTTTTTACTGTTTGTATCATTTTGACAAAGAGATTATGTTAGTTTTATGAGGAGGATGATGATGATTCAAGTAAGCTTCAGTTCTTTAACAGATAAGAGATGAATAAGAACAAAGAAACACGATGTTTGTGTTTTTTCTTGAAATATTCAAGATTCGGTTAGAAACAAAATGAAAGACAATAACAAGGAGAAAGATGTTGATAAAGAAGGGAAGTCTGGAATTTTCTTTTTGATTAAAATCTTAAACAATAGTCTGATGTGAAAAAATCTTAAGAACAATGTTTCAATAGAACGAAAGAGAGATGGTAAACATGTCTTGAAGCTTGGTTACTTGGATCTCTGCCTCATCTTTCTTCTCTTCCTCTTAAGCCTTCTCATGCGCTTCTTCTTCCACTGCACAAACACATTCGTAAACTGTGTTACTAGCCGAAACTATGATCAATCAAAGAAGCAGACTTGGCTTCTAAAATGACGAAAAAAGCTACCAATTATTCAAAGATGATATGATCAATCACTAAACCTAGGACATAAATTCAATCTCATTTGTTTCAATCCATTCTCTCCCGTATGGTAGAATTACGAGTTCTCTTCCTGAAAAGAGCGAAATGCTAAGTCGAAATCACAAATTCGATCTTCAGTTTCTCCTACCCTATAACTAAGATTCCGATTCTTCCCACTCGAATGATTCGATAACACAGCAGTTTATAAAATTCCGCCACATACTAAGCACAAAAGCATCAACACACCTAGCAGATCTATCAAACCAAGCATAACGAAGCACTAGATTAAGTAGAAGACTCTTTCTTACCTTAGCTCTCATCTTCACGCTCTGGCCTCTGGATCGAATCAGAGAGAAATGAAGGCGTCGTTAAACATATATACACACATTTGCAGAAAACCCTAAATCTTAATCGAAATTAAACTAACTTCCAAGGGGTATTTCCGTCATCCTCACGACAAAACTCTGTTTTACCCATCAAAGACCACCTTTAAAAGCCACAAATACAATTTAGCCTCGCCGGGAAATGGAGCAACAATCAGAACCGAACCGCCGCGATTCAGCTGACGCGACTAGCTCGTCGTCATCCACCGTCGTAGATGGTCACGGAGGCGGCGGAGAAGCAATGGCTCGAGGCTTATCAGCGATGCTAGAGTCCGTCATTAAGGACTTCGACTCTCAAGCCCTTGATACGCTCAATAGCCAAGACCAACTCTCCGGTTCCCTCGATCGCTTAGTCCAAGGTACGATTTATCGCAATCTGCATAAATCCTATTTCTTAATCGATGTTTGTATTGATCGAATCGCAATCACCTTTTCCGATTCTCCGTCTTCGCTTTGTTAGATTTCCTGAAATTAGAATATATTAACGAATCAATCCATCGAGTGAGTTTCTTAGCATGATTTTGCCTTTTAGTCTAACAATTTATTCAGATTGCAAATCTTGAATTGATCCCGAATTTTCACAAAGTTTGAGAATAAAAACAAACATGATCCCATATTGGTTCTTGAAGAATTCTCAGATTGGATAGATTTTCTCTCTTGTGTTTTGTTGTTGAATGTGATGAAAACAGAGCTTGATCAATTGCTGGAGAACGCTCCATTGCCGTTTATAGTACAACACGCATCGAGAATCTCCAGCGTGAAACAAAGAGTTTCATCTCTGAATCTGGTGCTCAAATCTATACAACGCCGTATTGATAATATCGATCAGATGCTCTCTGCCAACATCAATCCAGGTATAATACATAAAATTGAAAACTCTTTCTAGTTAATTATGGAATTTTTGTCAAGTAGCAATTAGCATCATCATCTGACATCTAGAGTGCAATATCTCTCTCAATGACCGTAAAACAGAGAAGACAACCTTGGAAAATACATCATCATGACCAAACACGGGTCACTCTCTGTTACACGCTGTTTCCCTTTCTCTGCTTACTGCTTCGGTTTTGAGAACAAAAAAAAGCAAAAGAGTTGATGAGTGTGTAACAAACAAGTGTTTGCTATACGAAACGATGGCGTTTGGTGTTATTAGGCTTTTTTAGCGGGCCTTTATCTGATCGGGTCATTTTATATATATTTATTTTAAAATATATTATTAAGTAAAAAAAAACAAACCAAAATAATTGTATCGTTCCAAGAATCCAAACTCTAATTCAGTGAACCTTGGTCCATCAAATCAATCATGTAAATCAGAATTTTTAAGTGAATATGTCGGCTCGTTTATTTTATGGTTTCTATACATACTGCTTTCAAGTTTGTTGGGTAAAGGCTTTACAAAAATTAATATCTTAATGTTTATAAAATCTTGTCACGTGGGTGTGCGACAAAATCGATAGGATATTACTTTTGTGCGTAAACAGAGAGTCACGTGTCTGCTATGCTGGTCACGTGGTTGAAGCCTATATAATTGGATCTCGTAGGCTTTTAGATTAATAGTGTCTCTATATATACTCTACAAGCCTTCGTAAGAATACTGATCTATGTCTACACTTGGGCCACAAATTTCTTATTCTTGATAACCACTTTCTTGTTTATATAACAACCATGATTCTCATTATTTACATTCAACTCTATGTATATATGATTATATGTAGTAATGTAGACGATGATGGTGTGGGTGTTGATAATAATTAATGATGATGCAAACAAAAAAAAAAGAGCAAATTACGAAGACTATATAGAGGACCGAGCCTCTGACCAGATATCTGATTGGTCCGGTTGTGGTAAACCCATACAAACACACAAACCTAAACCCATTTCGGGAACTCTGCCAAAGGTTTGTCTTTAACCCACAAAACTAGCCTACTTTTCCCCTTTTTAGCGCTGGCTTTACAAATCATGAATCGCAACTTAGCATACTCTAATATCTATCATAGATGTAACTCTCTAGACAGTACTCACTTTTTCTCAAGCTAAAACCCTAGCTGGAAATTGACTAGAAATTATACCCCAATTGCTATTTGTTTTTTTTTTTTGTAAACAAAATTTGAGTGGAGAAAGGGGACAAAAGAGAGAAGCCAAAGTACAGAGGATAGAGACAGGTGATAAAGGCTTAGGGTTTTGTACTTGTACAATTTCTTGCTGGTCCAATCTTATCTCTCTCTTTTTTTCTTTCTAGACTTGATAGTCTATGTAATCTTTCCACAGTTTCGTACCTTTCACGTACCATTATCATAGTAAGTTGAAAAAATGCTGACACTTAAACATGTGATTACAAACACCAAAACCAGTGACCAATAGATCCAGCATTAATGCTTAAACGAACCTTCTTTGATTAACATAAGAACAAAACCTACAACAATAAATAAACAGCAAAATGCAACAAAAAAAAAGGCAGAGAGAGAGAGAAAGGTATGGTAAAGTCTCTGAAAAACTGCATCATTTCCGAAACTTAGAAAACGACAAAATAAACTATAGAAAAACTAGAATTAAAAAATATCACATGAAAGAGACAGCTTAGATAAGCTTCAACGTGGGGAGAGCGCAAATACACACAGAGCTTATGAGAGAGAGAGAATCTCTTTTCCTATGACCCACGCGCATCCCTTGAGCGCGTTAACCTCACTGTCTCACTCTCTTTCTCTCTCTTGCCTCTCCCTCTAACTCTCAAAACCCAAAGCAAAGCAAAATACACAGCAGGAGATTCCAATTCCATTTTGTGTAATGTCTTTTCACAGGATACGTCTACAAAAACCCTAGATAGAATTCCTCACTAACAAATGGCAATGGCAGATCCTCTTTATTTACAAAACCCTGAATTTTAAAATGTGGAAAAAACTTTGTTAAAAAAAAAAAAAAGACTTGTTGGGGCATACAGTTAACAAACCAAAGAAGTGGGATTACTAACTGGCTACAATGGATCAATAAGATTGTGTTTTGTTGAAGTTCTCTCTCAGATTATTAGATTAGATTCGATCCGTGGAGTTACGACCTCTATTTATACCACCGTGCGGGTGATGAGACGACGCTCTGTTGTTATTGGAGCCACTCCCTGTTCTATTATGTTGCGACGAAGCTGATGAAGAAGGATTAGACGCAGAGAAAAACTGCCCAAAGATCACTGAACCACCTCGAATCGAACAAACCGGAACGTTAAGAACCGGAGTTACCCTTACGTTTGCGCTGTACGATCTCTCCATTCCTCTGTGTCTATACCCACTCGTTCCACCATTGAAGCTGCTCGGGCTGCTTGAGCTCCGTTCAAGGCTCTGAAACACTATTTTCCCTGACGAATTTAGCCTTGGACTGTCTACAGAGACTCCTCTGCTCATTGCTGCTTGACATGTTTCTCCTCCCGTCGAACGCCGCATCGGGCTGCGTCCAACTCTCCCTCCGCTTCCATGGTTACTGTCACGTGGCTTAACAAGCCTCATTCGCGGCGGATTTGGGTTTAGGCTTCGAGCGGGAGCAAACGGATTCGCCGTGAGGTTATGGTTGAGGTTAAGCATGTGGCTAGGTCTCTCTGCGTCGAGGGATAGCCTTGGGATATCCTCGTGGTCGTGGCCGGAGGAGGAAGAGGAGAGGGACATACGAGAAGAGGATAACGACAGAGATTCACAGTCGGAATCTTTCAGGAGAGGAAGACTGAGTAAGGAAGCCTCCGAAGAGGAGGATCCGGACGACGACGACGATCTAGAGCTCCGATGCAAAAATTGCTTCAACGAAGACGAAGTAGACGATCTGGGATTCGAAGGGAGCGTCGTCGTCGTCGATGCGGCCTTGCTGTTCTGAGAGAATCGCTTGAGCCCTAACAACTCCCTCCACCTGCTCGAGCACCGTGGAGCCTTGGGAGAAAACAAGCAATTATCGGCGCCGGAGATCTCCATCTCCACATCCATCCTTCTGCATTTCCCGACGGTCTGATGCTTCGTCGCGAGTTTCCCGTCGGAGAAAAGCTCGTCGGCGGGAAGCATCCCGACCGGATCCTCAAGCCTGAACTCGAACTCACCAGCGCCGACTGCTTCCTCCGCCGCAAGTTTCGGTGGAAACTCCGATCCAGAAGTCCGAGAGTCTTCACGGCTGAAGGAAGCTCGTGGATTGAAACATCCGTAAGCAGGAAACTCCTGAGACACACCAACATTGTTGACGCAAGCAGAAGCCATCACCGGCGTTCATGCAACAAAAAAACAATCGCCGTCCCCGGAGACTCAAACGGCCAGATCTAAAGCGAAAAGAGAGAGAGAGAAGAGAGAGAGAGGGGTTTTTTGGTTTTCTTGGAGCGTTGCGAGTTTGTTTTTGGGGGCCACGCTGCCAACAGTATTAAAACGAGCCAGAGGCGCGTGCATCTCACCGCACTCTCGGGGGTATATTCGGTATTTCGACACTGTTCTGTTGGAGTAGCCAATGGCGGAGCCTCTCTCGGATAACGGCTAATATACAGATTAGGAGAGCTTGTTAATACTTTTTAATCATCTTAACAGTCTTTTTTCATCTTTTTTAATGGAATCTGTTATCTGCAAATTTCCAAAAAAGTTATTATCTTATATTTTTGGGGGAAAAAATTGGTGGAGGTTGGAAAAAGGCATGAAATCATTGATAAGAAAGAAGATCACGTGATATATGAGGTGCTTTTGAGTATTAATTTATTACTAGTATCAAACTGTGGCCAAAAATAGGGAATATCTAACGAAAAATACGAATCTGTTGGAAATTATTGACAGCTAGCGATTAACTGCATTCTTGCTTTAAATCCGGTGGATAAGATTGCATGGGATGAGAAATTGAGAAGCCAGAGCAATCAGTGAAAATGTGGACAATTCACTGACTGAGATTAATCTGTGTTTGATTCGGACAAAAATAGACAAGTTGGTTTGTATTTGCTGATTTGACGATCATAAAGTTCTGCTATTTAATTGCTTCGATGAGAGGAAAAAGGTTTCACGCTTTGAGACCTCTCTGTTTTCGAGTAGAGCAATTGGTAATTTGTACGCTCGGTCGCTTCACTCTCTGTCTTTAATGTTTCACTCGAGTTATGCATTTGATCTTTGTGAGCTTACTAACTTTGTGTGAATACTGACTATTGAGTGGAGCAATGTGTTTGTGTCTCTCTTAATCTGGTGCTGTGTCCATTTCAGGATGGACTCTATACTAACTACACGGTTTCATCACTGTCCGTTTGTTTGCAGTTGTAACCCATTTGCACATGACACCAATCGAGAGTGGTTTCTTTTTTTTTTTCCGTAACCACATGAAATTTAAAGGGAATAACATGAAGGTACATAGTTTTGTCTCCTCAATTTCTGAGTTGCAATTCACATCGATTCAAAGATTTCTACTTTTGGTGCAGCCACTTTGAATGCCCTATTGATTTGCATTATCATGGAGCGTTATAATGCAGCTGTAGATTCAGTTATTCACACCCCTGTTGAAAGCAACTCGTAACTAACGAATATAGTGATTGGCTAATTCAAAATGATTTCTATGCTAGCTGTTGTGTCTTTAGTCTTCTTAATCAAGAAAAAGTCCCACCAGAAATAGTGTCATTTGCATCTTCATTTATTCACATATGGCTTTTACTATGAATTCTCTTACTAGCTAGCTTTTATTTTCATTAGTGTATCTGATTAACAGCTTTTCGTTTGTGTAGTTTTTGTTCGCCTATTTGAATGAATATAATGGTATCTTTCTGATTGCCAAAGAGTAAAAAGAGCAGATTTAACTTCAAAGTGTTGCACAAAAAAAAAAAATATTGGCATTTGTTGTTGAGAGTGAGGAAAGATGGGAGTAGCTTAGAAGAAGATGGTGGACTGTTGCTTTCCTGAGAAGCTTTTAAGAAGATCTTTAACAACTCATTTGTCCTAATTTTGTTTAATCTCTCTTGTCTGAAAGATACTTAAATCTTTGTCTTCGATGATTGCTACTCATAGACATACATTATTTTCGGTATGGATGGATTATTTTTCTTCCAAAGTTTTGATTTTTGAACAATAGTAAAACAATGATATTTAACGAAAAATTACTAATTAAAAATGTAGAAAATATAATTGGGTTCTACTTCTTCTTCGTCGTCGTCTTTTCGACTCAGAAAGAATGGATTCATGCCTAGTGAAGTTAAACCCTTGCTTGAATCCTCTTTCTCCTCTTTACCCTTTCACGCCATGTTCGTATTCGCCGCCGCTCAGGCTTTCTTCTTGCTACTCCCGCCGCTTCTGTTCACCTGTCACCGTCAACGCCGCGAAGAAACCCTCCCATAGCATCCGTTCTGAATTCGATGACAGAATCAACGGCGCTTTCTCTCCCGACTCTGATTCCCGCTTCCTCGACCGTGTAAATTTCCTTCTTTCTCCCTCTTTTTGTTTTGTTTTCTTTGGGTTACTGTGAACCTGTGTTTCCCCATTAACACCATTAGGTTTAGGTCTCCATTCATAGGATTGGATCTTGTTATTGTCTGTTTTTACTGAAATTGTCCGTCTTAGTGCCTTTGTGGATTCATTTTACATCCCGCGCTTTCGCTGAGCTTTAGTTGTTGGTAACTCACAGATAGATATAATCATTTTCCCCTGTTGACACTTGTGTCTTGTTTCCAGAATGCCTTGTCTTGTTTGATCAGTAGAAGCTTAAGCACTAGGTTAGTCTATGGACCAAAGAAAGGAATTTCATTCATCTCGTTGAGCTGTTTTTTTGGGCACTATATACAGAATTTTTGTTGGCTCTGCGTGTTGCTCTCTTGTTAGAGTTCTTTGTCTTACTAACTTTGGTTTTCTTGGCTTGTTCACAGCAAAAGGCTTTAGACGCAGCTATGAATGACATAAACAGTTCGTTTGGTAAAGGAAGTGTAACAAGATTGGGGAGTGCTGGTGGAGCACTAGTGTAAGAATCTCTGTAGATAGTCTTTCTTTATACTTATTGCTTTAACTTTCCTCTCCTCAAGAGTGTTAAAGCTGTAATGGATCAAGTACAATAGCATAGTACTATCTTGATTCCACCATAAGATATTTAGTTTTTGAAAAGTGATTGTCTAATATTGGTCTATATTGCAGAGAGACTTTTTCGAGTGGTGTTTTGACTCTTGATCTTGCCTTAGGTGGAGGCCTTCCAAAGGGTCGGGTAGTCGAGGTATGCCCTTGCTACAGAGTTTTGATCATGGAAATATGTTAAATGTGATTCTTGTCTAAGTTTTTTCGTTGGTTTGAAATTCAATACTGCAGATATATGGACCAGAAAGTAGTGGCAAGACCACGCTAGCACTTCATGCAATTGCTGAAGTGCAGGTTATCTTTTCTTTGTGAACTACTTCGATCAGTTAATTCGATCTTTATATCATCTCCGATGTGTCGCTGAAACATAGTTAGCTAACTATGCAGAAACTTGGAGGAAATGCAATGCTTGTTGATGCAGAGCATGCCTTTGATCCAGCATACTCTAAGGCATTAGGTGTTGATGTAGAAAATCTTATAGTGTGTCAGCCAGATAATGGCGAGATGGCTTTAGAGAGTAATCTTACATCCTAAAATCTTGTATTATGATATGGTTATTTGTCATGTAAAGTGTATGCCTGCGAACTAACATGATCTTATGTTGTTACTACTCTATCAGTTGCAGACCGTATGTGTCGTTCGGGTGCAGTTGACCTTATATGTGTTGATTCTGTCTCAGCACTTACTCCACGAGCCGAGATTGAAGTAATGATATCATCTCTTTCCCACATGTAATTTCTTCTTGGTATGAACTTTTCTGAGCTTAACTCCGTTTTGTGCATAGGGTGAGATTGGAATGCAGCAAATGGGCTTGCAAGCTCGTCTTATGAGTCAAGCTCTTCGTAAAATGTCAGGAAACGCTTCTAAAGCTAATTGTACACTTATATTCTTAAACCAAATAAGATACAAGGTAATTATGACTAATCGCTTACCTATTATGTGTTCCATTAACACGATGATTTATTCTCTTATATAAGCATGTTGTGTAACATTGCTTTTATCTTATGCTATGAAGATTGGTGTGTACTATGGGAATCCAGAGGTGACTAGCGGAGGAATTGCATTGAAGTTCTTCGCGTCGGTCCGGCTAGAAATTCGTTCTGCCGGGAAGATAAAATCTGTAAGGATTACTTTTGTAGTTTATTTCTGCGGTGGTTTGAATTCGTTTTGAAACTGAACTCATTTTTGATTCCCAATTACTTATTTAAAGAGCAAAGGGGATGAAGATATTGGTCTTCGGGCTCGTGTAAGAGTACAAAAGAGCAAGGTTAGTGTCATGTCAAAACATGTCAAATTACTTCAATAAAAAAGAAAACTGGATTTGCCTCATCTCTTTTCTGTTTTGCAGGTTTCGAGACCGTACAAGCAAGCAGAGTTTGAGATTATGTTTGGGGAAGGAGTCAGTAAACTGGTATGCATCATCAGTCTCTCTGACAACACATAAACGGTTTTCCTTGTCTTTTAACTTAAACTTTAATTTGTAGGGATGTGTTCTTGATTGTGCTGAAATTATGGAGGTTGTGGTCAAGAAGGGTTCTTGGTACAGCTACGAAGACCAAAGGTCTGGATTCTACATTTAAAACTCAATACATTTTGTGAAAGTAGTAGTGGATACAGATTATGAGATATACATTTGTGTTTTTAAGACTCGGGCAAGGAAGAGAGAAAGCACTGCAGCACTTAAGGGAAAACCCTTCTCTTCAAGACGAAATTGAGAAGGTTTGCTTCTTCTATTGTCATCCCATTTTCTGATTCATTCAAGGCTCCATCTTTTAACAAATGTGAATGTATGCGTTGCAGAGGGTGAGATTGTTGATGTTAGATGGAGAAGTGCATCGATCAACTCCATTGCTTAGCAGCAGCTCCTCCTCGGTTGAAGAAGAAGAAGACTCGCTTGACGGTTTCCAATGACTAAACTTAAGCCGAGACTTGGGATCTAATCCATCTTTTCCTAGGGACTGAGTGCCACCAAAGTGTTCCGATGATTCACAACACTCATGTCTCTTGTTTCACCTATTATCTTATCATTTTGAAACTCCAAATGGTTCAGTCTATAAATATTAATGTTGTATTTCAAGTTCATTTTTGTGCGCCGTAATTGCCGAAAGATGAATATACAACAAACACTAGCATTCTTATAAATTCAAAGTATGTTCTGAGTTTTGTAACAACATCAGAGAGAATAGAACAATAGGAGAAAACATTTAGAGAAACATGAGTACACATTTCTTTAGCAACTCAAGATTTACTGAGCCAAAGCACTGGTGTTGTACACAAGAAGAGCTCCTCCGGCGAGAATTCCGGCGAGCGTCACCGCCCAAATTGCCAATCCGGTGACTCCTCCCTTGTACGTGTCACCACCCGGTGCCCACTCCTCCTCGTTGTAAATAGGACTGTAAAACCCAAAAATTAAAATCATCATTTTGTCAACAACAACATATTCTATGATACTTACATAAATAAAGGTGTTACGAAAATTATTATTTATTATTCACCTGTATCCATCGACGTTAGCACCGTACTTGTCGACGAATTTGTAAACACCGTATCCCTGAGTTTAAAACGAGATCGTTTTAGTGAGCCATCTCTCTCTAACATTAAACACATTAAACGACATCGTTTTCTGATGGACAAACGGAACCAACCTTGCCCTTTCTGCCGGAGGCGTCGACGCCGTCCCTCAAGTCCATGCTGCCGTTAACTCCTACACACACATCGATATAACGGAATAAGCTATACTTTTAACGTTAGCGTGATCAATATGTAAAGTCTGTTTGTATTATATATTATACGGACCAAAGGGCTTGTCAGTCTTGATCTTCTTGACGCCGCTGGCGACAATTCTGAAGGAGGAAGGAGAAGCTCTTGTGAGCGACGGCAATCCTCTCGCCGACATCTTCTCCACCGTGAAACCCGCCGGTTTCAATGTCACCGATGAAAGCATCACTGAAGCAGCCATTTCTTCTCTTCTCTACTCTCTATCTCTCTCTCTCTCGCCCAATGCGTCTGTGTCTTCTAATATGAGAGAGAGGAGACGCGATAAGTGATCACGGTCTTGACACGTGGCGATTGCTGTGTGGCTTGCGACTGGATATCTTCCTTACCAACGTTATCTTCAACTGGATCCGTCCATCTTCTATATAATTCATCAGTTTCGCCACGTAGGATTTTGAAATTTTTGTTATTTTTCATTTTTTAGCCCTACAAATTTCAGTTTACTTAAACTAGCCCCACTAGTTTATTGTAGACTCGCAATGCCTTCCACGTTGGAGATCTTGTCCACGTTTTGAATTGCCCACGGTGGAATGAAACGCAGATTGCTGCTTTCGCCGCCTAGCGTTTAGAGACCGCGTTTCTGGTCACTCGCTGCTGTTAGATGATGATGAACAGTTTTGTTTTCTTTAAACTCATGACTAACTAATGTGTGACCATGTGTGTCTAGTGCTCCTTTTAATTATGTCTTCTCCATTACTGGAAGCATCAACAAGGTTGACCATTGTCTTGATTTTAAAAAGTCTTAACAGCAAGCCTTTTCTAAAAAAAAAAAAAAGTCTTAACAGCAAACTGGTTCTAAACTTCTACTCATATTTACCAATATAAATAATTATGTGGAGCTATATAATTTGAACACAAGAACTTGGTCAATGTTTTTTGTATATAGTTTTTTTTTGTTTTTAGTTTTTTCAAGATTACGTTTGTTATTCTCTTTTGTTCTTCTCTGCGTATTCTTCTACTAAAGTCATTAGAAAACTATCAACTTGAGTGGTACTTTTAAAAATATAATACAAATCAAAGTCGTTTAAGTTAAAAACTATTGGTTGATCAATCGATATGTTAGCTACACGTCTAAGTCGTGAAGAAAGACAAAAAAAATACAAAACTATTAATGTTAAATGAGAGTGAGTAAGGTTACAACTTACAAGCGACCGATTTCGTATAATCAATCTAAAATATCACCCACCACAGTTTAAATACAATATCTTTTTTTTCTGGGACTGGTTCCAGTTCCAGTGGACCCAACAAATAAATGATTTGTTTTCTAATTACTATGTAAGTTGTTGTAACTTATTAGTCAAATGATCTTTTTTTTTATTATAAAACATTGAACTCTTCGTGAATATAAATATACACATTTCCGATCACTAATTGATTGAGATAAACTCATCTTGCTAGAGTATATAACATAATGATACACATACAATTAAACCGTAAGTAAAGCTAGATGTATGTTTTATTGCATATATGTACAGAAGATGTTCAAAAACAAAACAAAAAAGCATATGGACAGAAGAATAATTTTATAGTTATACTAATTTAGTATCTTGATTGTACTCACAAAATCCCAAAAATATAAGCACACGACACTATGAATACAGATAATAGAACATGCTTAGCTAAATGATGTCAAATGAAAGTAAACAATATATTGAAAACAACTTTAAAGAACAAGAAAATCACATGTTCAAAATTCCAAAACCTAATTAAAGCAAATTCCACAATGATATTTTACCGATATATATCAATAATGCCAATGGAAGAATTGAGCAGGAAGGAGTATATAACTTGTTCTTATTTAATCGATAGTACCCAAACCGATATTTAAATTAATCTTCAAACTTAGAGCATTATATAAAGCAATACTCGCGTTTATCAGAAATTTCAATCCCTTATCTCGATTTATTAGCAATGAATAGAGTTACATTATTTCAGGTCTTTTTTCGTAAAATAATATGAAAGATTCCGTTCGATTAAATCCATTACTTGGTTTTTAACATTCCAGGATTTAACCGGACTCAAGTATTCCGTATTCAATATTTAAAGGACTGAACCGGGCTCAACCAAGCCCGTTTTTAGCTTTATTATTGTACAAGCAGCCGCAGGAGATTTCACACTCTTGGAAGTAAAGTGGGACCCATAGTATTATACTACTCCAGTAAGTATGTCTATTTAACAAAACTAAGTCTAATTAATACGCCAAAAACCAACACTAATTAATAATTAACGACTTAACCTCGCCTTCTTCTCTATGGATTGTATCCTCTCTCTATATACGCGAAACTTTGTCGTCTCTCTCTCTTCGAAGAACCTTTTGAAACTTTTTCAAGTTTTGTTTTTTCGCTTTTTCACGAGCTCTTTTTAGGGTTCCTGGAGCTTTAATATTACAGTGCCCCCCTCCAATCTACTTTAGCTAAAACCCATTTTCTTTACTTTTGTTTATCACACTCTCTCTCTTTGTATACTTGTCGGTGGTGGTGATTCTCCGACGAAGCTATTTATTCGCCGGAAAATTACTATGATTAGTGAGATTTTCTCGGATCCGATCAGAGGATCGGTTTTTAAAAGTGGGACCTTGATGGGTAATTTAGGGAATGTCTTTGAATGAAGCAAAGACTTGTTTTGCTAAAAAAGGGTGAAAGAAAAGATTCCTCTTTTTGTTTGTTTGTTTCAGATATTGCGGAGCTTTGCTTTAATCTGTTGTTTTGGAGAAACTTGCATGTGAAGGGATTTGCGTTGAACGAATAAGCGTGACCGGATTTTCTTCTTGCTACTGTGTTTGTTTGTATATCTTCTCTGTGAAGTTTATGCGCCAAATCTGTTCAATAATTAAGTTAGTTATTGTGATCTTCCCTTAAGATCAAAGCCATGGTGGAGAAGCTAGTTTCGTCGAGAGATGAGTCTCTCTGGTTCTGTTCTCACAGTATTCAATCTCCGTTTCTGACCCCAAATTAAAGTCTTTGTGAGTTAACGCGAGCCTGAGCTAAGGATTAAAGTGGTGGGCTTTTCGGCAATTTCATCCTCTTGTTGTTGGATTTGAGCGATGGAGGATATTGGGTTGGTTAAACAAGGTTGGAAATGGATGCAATCTCAGAAACATATGTGCTCGAATGCTTGTTCTGCGATTCGATGTTTTGGGGAGAAGATAGGAGAGCTCGTGGAGCGTCACTGGCCATTGGTGTGTAGTGGATGTGGAAAGCTATTAGGCTTCCTTCGTCTGTCAATTGTTTATTGGAAAGATTGCATTTTGAGGGGTTTCCGTTGCAGCGCCAAATTGGGATCAGCTGCTTTGCTTCTGATAATGTGGAGTTGCTTCCTCAGCCTGACTTCCTTATCTTGCTTGCTTTATGTTCTCCTCAGTATGGTATTGTCTTTAGATTTTTTTCTGATTTCTTTAATTCTGGATTTTAGATCTTGAAATAAGACTGTGTTCCACTCCCCAAACTGATACCGAAACTTTTAATCTAAGATGTAAAAATGCAGAGAGGCTATAATTCTTGATCTTAGATGCTATTCCCCGCTAATTGTTTCAAGATTTTTATTTGAAGTGTACATTAGATTGGAGATCTGGTTGATAGAGTTGGGTTTTCATCTATTGTTTTGAATTTACCATTGCAGGGAGCCGCTGCTGCTGTTGTTCTGAACTTGGGTTGCACTCCTGGGCTCTTTATTGTAGGACTATTTGGTATTTTGATTTTATGGATGTATGCAAACTTTTGGATCACTGGAACATTGTTTATGGTCGGAGGCAAGTTCTCAATTTTTCCCTTATCAGTTGTGCTTTCACTGTTCCAAACAGATTACAGTTTGCTGGGTTGTCTTTCTGGTCATTGGTCAATTTTTATGCTTGATCTACACTATATATATATGGTATTAATTTCTTTCGTTTTGTTTGATTCAGGCTATTTATTCTCCTTAAATCACGCCCGTCTGGTGGTTCTAATGGCGGCATTATATGCGATGTACTGTGTCAAAGTCAGACTTGGATGGCTTGGTGTTCTGCTCTCAATGAATCTTGCTTTCTTGTCCAACGATATATTAAATTGCCTACTTCAATGGTGTGATAATCTGAGTGAAAAACCACAACCCGAGGAACCAAAGAAACACGAAGAGACAATCATAGAAGAAGACTATTCAAGAGAATTTGAGTATCCTTCAGTTCCCGTTGAAGAAGAAACCGAGAAAAAGGTTCATGAGAATAAGTCCTCTGCTGAACCAACTGCTCCTACAACTGTTGTTAATAGCGTGAAGGAGATTTCTAGTGTTAAGGTAGTCAAAATAGAAACAAGTTCAGCTGATGAAATGAAGAGAATACTGAAAAGTTTGAATCATTATGAAGCATTGGGGTTCCCTCGGCATAAAAAAATCGATGCCGCAGTGCTTAAGAAAGAGTATAGAAAGAAGGTTTGATCTTGTTTCCAATGCTGAATAAGTCTATGCAACTTCTCGAAAGGTTTATGAAGTGTGTGTGCTTTGTTCTAGGCAATGTTGGTTCACCCCGATAAAAATAGGGGAAGTCCTTTGGCAAGTGAATCATTCAAGAAACTTCAATGTGCTTACGAGGTAATTGGATAGCGTATAATCTTGAATTGGTAATTGTGATGTTTATGTTCTTGGTATTTGTCGATATATAGACATGTAAGTGTTGAAGTTTGTTGGTTTCTCAGGTTCTTTCTGATTTTGTAAAGAAGAGAGACTACGATGAGCAATTACGAAAAGAAGAATCTAGGACCAGGAGTGTTTGTCAGACATCTCATGCTTCTTCGCATCAGGTTTGTTTACTTTTCTTTTTGCCTCTCTGTCATAACTTTTGGCGTGTGGTTTCGTGTTTCATTTCTTGATTTATTTGCAGAGTGGTCCTGATTATCGTTCAGAAGAGTCGAGGCGGATACACTGTACAAAATGTGGTAATTCACACATATGGGTGTGCACCAATAGGACTAAGGCAAAAGCGAGATGGTGCCAGGTGATGATTAATCCAACCAACTCAGGAACTCTGAAGTCAAAAAGCATGATCTTCTTGCGTTCTTGTCATTTTAAACTCTAATCTGTTAAATGTAGGATTGTGGTCAATATCATCAAGCGAAAGATGGAGATGGGTGGGTCGAACTCAAAGGGACATTACCCTTCGAGAGGGCACATAAGGTAAAGAAAAAAACTTTGTTGCTCGTAATGATGAATCTAGTTTTGATTTAGTTATCCTCAACTCAACTAGTTTATAAATTTTCCTGTCCTTGAAGATTGAAATACCGCGTGCTTTTGTTTGTGCGGAAAGCAAAATCTTTGACGTCTCAGAATGGGCCATATGTCAGGTCGGTTCTCTTACCGTGGATTACCTGAATGTAGATGATTGAGATAACATTTAACATGTTATGATGTTTGATCAAATAGGGAATGGCGTGTAGACCAAACACGCATAGGCCAAGCTTTCATGTGAACATGGTTGGGTTAGAAAAGACAACACAGAGATCAAACTCGAGTAGGTTCCCTTGGGATTTAGATGTGGAGATGATGGATGAGGATGAAGAAGAGTTTGAGCTATGGCTTCAACAAGCTCTTGCTTCTGGTCTCTTTTGTGAATCCTCAAAGCGCAGAAAAAGCTGGAGCCCTTTCAAGTTAAGCCAGATGAAAAGCAAGAAACAATGGCGAAGAACATCCACTTGATTCAAACTTCCATAGCTCACCACGGATTCTAGAACTGGAAAACTGGATTCACAGCATGTGAATGCAAAGCCCTGAAGTCTGAAGAGAAGAGCAGTTTTTTGGGGCCTTTCTCTGTAAATAGAAGCTCTTGATTTTGTCTACTTTGTTTTCACTGTTGTAAACTACTTCAGAAAAAAATTAAAGAAGTTGTTTGTATTCCACAGAAATGAAGGTGTACATTTAAAGGCTGTTCATTTGACGAGATGAAGCTCAAAAAGGAGAAATATTAAAGATTTTACTAAGGGTTTACAAAGTTTTTTTTTTTTTTGTTTAAAGAAATATTTTCCCTTTTAAGTATGTTGATAAACTTTTAGAAATCGAACCCGTATTTGCTAAAGTTTTCCCTCCTTGTATGTTATTGACGAATCAAAAACGTCGACCTCCATTAATTTTTTTTTTCTTTTTTAAGTTTTCTCTTAAAAAGCTTATCTTTCTTCTTCGATTTTGACCTTCTGGGTTAATCACGGAAGAGTTTTCCTTTTTCGTCACCGCCGCAATTTTGCCCGGCAGAGGAAGAAGAAAAACCCCTAGTAACTGGGATTGTACGACGATGAGGGAGAGGTTTGGAAATTTCGAGTATTGAATGTGAATTTTTTTTTCTCGTCCCATCCAGATTCAAAACAAAAACGCTAACCCTAAAATCTGGGTTTGATTTCCTTACTGTTTTGTTTGAAACCTATTTAATTTCGTTGTCTTTGTTCCGTTTTCTTGTGTAAACGCTTTTCAAGTCATAGGACTCTTTGAGATTTTTGAATATTACAGATTTTGCTTCTTCCTGTCCTATTGGAGCAACAGATATATATACCATATACAGATACTTCTCTCTCTCTCTTTCTTTCTCTCTCTCTCTCTCTATATATATATATATAAACTTGTAAGTAGAATTGTGGGAAAGAAGGTGAAATGAGTAGGCTCTCTTTCCGGCCACGGCCATTGGACATTCACAAGAAGCTTCCAATCTTAAAATCGTTTAAAGACTTTGAAGATGACGAGACACAAACTTCCACCACTAGAAATTCTCAGTTGCTGCGTATAGCTTCTGTAGAGGTTGACAATGAGGTGAATTCCGAACTCTCTGCTAACTTCAAGCTTCATTTCACCATTGTTAGGTGTAAAATCTTTTCTATTGCATTTGGCTATATTGTCAGGTGCATCCAGTACCAAGCAAGAAACTGGCTTCAGAAATACCAACACCTCAATTTGTTGTTGTGGATACATATGAAAGGGATTATTCCCCAACTTTTGGTCAACCTGCTTCTTATCTACGTGCCAGAGGAGGTACCAATACCTCTGATTTGATTTTGTTTTCTTGCGATGAAGGTGCTTTATTTGGTACATGGAGACTATAAGTCTGTTTCTTTTTGTGCAGCTCGGTCTGAGCTTGGAGAATTTGTGGAGTATGATCTTGACAATGAGGATGATGATTGGCTTTATGAGTTTGATAAGGATGATAACAAGGATCTTTCACCTGAAATGTAAAGTAACCAATCCGACTATCATATTTTGTATACTGTTCTCATTTTAGATGGATCAGTTTGCTCTATATACACAGTTTAATCGGATTCTGCTAAAAGTGCATAAACCAAACCTTACTCGAGTAGATACCGAAAGAAGAATCATTCATAAACGTAAACGTGTTAAATTGTCTTAAACAGGCTTGAGAGCATTATTTTTAAGCTAGAGGTGTTGGATCACAAGACACGGGAAAGAGCAGGAGTTATTACACCAACCCTTGGTTCTCCAATTCCTGTGCTTTTGCAGCTTGATGCTGCTGTTGAGGTAAACCATTACTTTAACTGTGTTTCATAGTCTTTTGGATTATCATATCTCTTGTTCTTGATGCATATGCTCATACAGAAGCAGCACATGACATTTAAATTATTCTTGTTGTCATCTTATTACAGGCGCTGCAATCATTGTCCATTAATTATGGTGTCTTCCAGGCTATCTTCAACTACTGGAAAGACAAGGTTTGAGATGAACCTTATGTGGCATCTTTCGATTATTATGAGTTTTCTGGACATAAACATTGTGTTGCACAGGTTGTTGATACTTAAAAAAAAACCTTTCTTGACGGCTTGAGATAAACCTTGTTTGACATATCTTTGAGTTCTTGAAGCACATGTATAAATCTTGTGATGAGAGCACTGCTACTAGCCAGTTAAACATCTGGAGCACAATTGGCTTGTAAGACTAATGCATATATTTCATTTTTGTATGTAAATTTAGCGCAAAAGATGGCAGAAGCCTATATTGCGGCGTTTACAGGTATGTACCATTAATTACGGTTGAAACAATCAAGACCCGTGTTGGAAGAGATCTTACTTCGAATATTTAAGTAAAGCTTTGCATCTTTGTTTGGAACAGCCTCCTCCACCGGTCAATGACACCAATCCCTACAATGTGTTTAGGCCGAGGGAGAAAGCTCATAGACTCCACACAAGAAGGGTAGGCTATCATCGTGATACTTTTTTTTGTTTATGATTTAAATCCAACTTGAGAAAGAAAAAAACTTGATAAGGCTTTACTTCTAATATAGATGCAGAGGAGAGAAAACAATGTGCAGTCATTTGAAAAGCTTCGACAGGTAAGCGAGGCACCTGCATATCTTTACGTTTCTTGCTCGGACCAGTCTTAATTTCGTGAAATCTGAGCAGTTAGCTGTTCGCCTTTACGATGCCTTCTTTTAGTATCTTTCTGGGCTGTTAAATACTATCTGTTAGGGCTCTTTTATGAATTTTTTTATCTGTTGGATTCTGAATACAAGTTACCTCTTGTGGGAATATATATGATATTATTCAGGTTAGACGCAATCTTGACCAAGCAAAGACCATTCTGGAGGCCCTTATTAAGGTGTTCTTTATGACAGTTTTAAGAGTTATATGACTTGTATGTAACTTGATTTCATATCTTAACCAAGTGGGTTGCATCCTCCAAAGTCACTAATTCGATGATGTTATCCATTTTGTAGAGAGAAGAAAAGAAGAGGGATGTTATGGATGGCGAAGTTAGCCTTCAGAGAATCCAACTCCAATACAGGGTACATAATTAATAATGCTACTTCCTCTAAAGCAAGCTCTTTTGTTATAAAAATGTTACCTTTTTTCTCTTTCTAATTGCCTTTTTGGTGAATGTTTTTGATGCTTAGTCGAGCTTTGAGGTTTGATCTGGTTTTTTGCAGCATGAAACAGAGCTCTTGGAAGATAGCTTGGCTCTGCCTGGATTTCCACCAGCTACAACATATTACAAATTTGGGTCAAGCGACGATGAGTTCATGGACTCAGATGACCACACTAGCACCCGTGTACGCACAAGGCCTTCTTCTCTTATCCCTAACCCTCGTTTCACCAACTCAACATCTCAACCCGGAGGCATCAAACAAGAAGTTAGAAGACGACACTTGCATCACGGATGGCTTCACAGACTGGTTAAAACCTATCCTTCTCTCTCTCCCTCTCTCTCTCTCTCTCTAGTTGCTATATGATTAATACAACATGTAATGGTTTTGTTGACATGCTTAGGATCCTAATGAACCAGTCATGCTGTTCACAAAACCGTTGGTTCCCGATAAACTGGCAGCTGCTGGCATCGTTCCTCCGGCACCGGATTCATCTTCCGGCCAGCCTCCAAGTCGGTTTCAAGGGAGGATTGGGCGTGGAGGCCGGATTATATTCGATAGATGGAATCCTTTGATGCAATCTCACATTAACTGCGGAAACTCTTTCTACATTGCACCAAATCACCCATCTACCAACTTCAATTGAAAATCTTTCTTTCCTATGTAAAGAAAATTCCATCACCAATGGTGATGAGCAAGTGTATTCAATAACTGTTCTCTCTATACAGAAATTTTTTTTAGTAACTCTATTCCTTTCTGATTTTAATGGAATAATCCGGTTATATCGGTGGTTCAGTAAACCAATGGATACTTGTGCGAGGGACTGAATTGTAATAATATATTAAATTCGTGACAAAATTGGATTTTAGGGCTCTTTACTGATTTCAATCGGAGGAATTTTTTTTTTGTTTTTTTTTTCATATATCTCTCGTCAATCGCTGTGAAGAAGGAAGGACCCTAAATCGATCTTAGGGTGCTCTATCAATGGCTTCGATGTTGGCTCGCAGGTCACTGAATACTCTCCGTGCTCGACATCTCGTATGGATCTCGCTCTTATATTTCTCCGTTTTGTGTCGTTTACTTGGAGTTGTTTGGATGCACAGAAATGCGGAATGTCTCTTGGAGTTTCGGGAATTAAAGGAGATTTTATTCACTCTCTGTATTTCGTTTTGTGTCGATGAGATTCGGGGTTGTATGCAACCGTAACTGGAACGATACTGACTGATTTAGAGCGAAGTTTTTGTGTGATTTTCTTATTTCATAGATTGTAGAGTGAGAACGGATTGTGAGGCAGTGAATTTTTTTATCTGGCTGATTGATGACTTATGTAGGGAGATTGATCGAATCTTGAGGGCTTCGTTTTTTCTTATGGTTCGTTCGAAGAGACACTGGGTTACTATTTACCTGTGATTGAGAGCTTTTTTTCTTGTGAACTTTGAATCCTTTCATTCGCTTCCTTATGGTGTGTATGTTTTGGATACCTCTCTTATTACCTCTCTTCATCGATAGGTTTTTTCAGGACAAACTTTGCAGGGATCTCATCTTTCTGGACTGCAGTCCCGTGGTATTTCTTATGGCACCAAGAAAGGTTTATTTTCTGACTTACCTCTTTCTATGGAGATTGGTGTTTATCGATGGGCAACATCTTCATTATGGACTTTACCGTTTTTATGTGTCGGTAAATGATTTGTGTGCTTGCCTCTGTAATATTCAGATGATGAAGAAGAGCAGCAACTTGCTAAGGAAATCTCCAAGGACTGGAATACTGGTAAGCTAGCTATATGATCTAGAAACTTGTTTTTTTCTCTTCTCTTCTCATACTTATTTCCTCGCCGTTTACTTCCCTAAGTATTAGGGAATCCTGATATTTTGCATTTTTGCAGTCTTTGAACGGAGTATAAACACCCTATTTCTCACTGAAATGGTCCGTGGTTTGTCGTTGACCCTCAAGTACTTCTTTGATCCCAAAGTTACTGTGAGTGACATCTTTCCCAGTCCTAAAAACTTAGATTGAAAGAAATCTGTATGATTCTGAAGCTCTATCGTGTATTTGCAGATCAATTATCCATTTGAGAAGGGCCCACTGAGCCCTCGCTTCCGTGGTGAACATGCTCTTCGACGATATCCTACTGGGGAAGAACGGTGCATTGCCTGCAAACTCTGTGAAGCTGTGAGTTTTGAGATCTATGCTAACGCTTAATTCAATGTTCTCTCTGTATTTATAGCCCTTGTAAGGCCTCTCAGGGCGATGAGTGCCTTTGCATTGATTTAACAAGATTGTGAACCCATCATGCCGTGGAAACCCGGTTCTGCTGATATGGCCCAAATCTCAGGATCATAAGCTGATGCCTATGGAATCCATCTTAGTTATTAGGAGAATTATTCGAGCATTAGTAATACTTACTGTTGAAGTGGCTAGAGTTCTGATGAAATGCCGATATCTACAATTATCTGTTTAATGTGTGAAGATGATATAGTATCTTAGATGGCTATGGAATAATTTCTTACATACGTGTCTATATCATCAGGTATGTCCAGCTCAAGCAATCACAATAGAAGCAGAGGAGCGGGAAGATGGAAGCCGCAGAACCACTAGGTCACGATTCCCTTTACTTTTAAATTACTAACCATATGCTTTCGTTTATACCATTTCATGGTGTATTAATGATCTAGAGCTCTACAGGTATGACATCGACATGACAAAATGCATTTACTGTGGTTTCTGCCAAGAAGCTTGCCCCGTTGATGCAATCGTCGAAGGACCTAACTTTGAATTCGCAACGGAGACACACGAGGTCTGTTTATCACATGTTTTCTTGACCGAATAGTTTTGTGGCATATGCATATTGAAAACTTCTGTTATGTTCCCTTTCATAGGAACTTCTGTATGACAAAGAAAAGCTTCTTGAGAATGGAGATCGATGGGAAACAGAGATTGCTGAGAATCTGAAATCAGAGAGTCTCTACCGTTGAAAGCATTCTACAACAGTCTGTGCTTCAAGTTATATCCCGGGAAAACTTTTTCATTGTTTCTGTTAGAAATAAAGATGAGATCTTATGCTCTTGAAAACTCTTCCCTTTGTATTCCAGCTTTGTGCTGGTGTAACTGAATTGTTTGTTTGTATCGACCTGAGTTTGACTTTCAGTTCATGAATTCTGGTTTAGTGTTTGACTTATCGGTTTTGGAAGAAGAGCATACAGTATCTGGTCAAAGACTGAAAACGGATAAACTACAAGGGTGAATTTGTAAATCAAGAAAAGCTTTGATCGGACGGACAGGAACATATGCATAGTTTATCCCAAATTGTCCGATCTAACATTTTGCTGCGCGAAATTTTCGTTTTTTGCCTATTGGTTGCGCCAATTATCGTATTCAGACATCAAAACTAATATTTAAATAATGTGTCCTATATTCTTACTATTTTAGAAAAACAACGAATCCTTAGAAAGGAAAGAAAAAAAATCAAAATCCCCAAATCGAGCGAGTCCTACAAAAAATCCCCAATTCGACGAACTCTGAGCCCAGAAAGATCCCCCGATTTGGGAAAAACAGTCTTCATTCGTTTTCATATTTCCATTTTCTTGCTGGGATTGGTCTACCTGCTTGATCTTAATATCTAACCTTGCTTTGATTGAGTTCACACGTGCCGCATCGGCTGTTCACCGACTTTGTTTCGTTTCGCACAGTCGATCATCGTAAATCACTAGCAACCGCTTGGTGTCCGCGAATTTCTCTCCGGGTACTGCTCTTTGCTGCGCAAGATTGCTCCTTTGTGTATCAATTCAAAAGGTTAGGGGGTGAATTTTTAGGGTTTTTCTTTTTTTTTTTTAATTTTGACATATTCTTCAGTGAAGTTTGCTACTTGGGGTTTAATTGCTTAGCATTTCCTCCTTTTACCAGCTTCTGTACCTTATCTCAGTGATCGATTGTGTCAGTTTCAGCTCTCCTGATTTCACAAAGTTGTTTAGCAGGACATACCAAAAGGAGCTAATCAGGAGATGAATTTTGGTTACTGTAACTTCTGGAGGAGAGGAGAGTTATGCAGTGCTTGTTACTGTTAGTTACGAGAAGAACTAGAACAAGGCGAAGAAGACTGAAGAGGTAACATGAATGTTCAGGCTCACATGTCGGGACAGATGTCTGGGCAGGTTCCGAACCAAGGGACCATGTCCCAGCAGAATGGAAACTCCCAAATGCAGAATTTAGTTAATGGTGGTGCTGCTCCTGCTGGTGCTGGTTTAGGTCCTTCACGTGTCTCTCCCATTGACAATGAGCTCTTGAAACTTCGGCAGGGCATGCGAATCAAGATGTAAGCTTTTGGATTCTTCCCACCATTTGCAGTTGTATTTGCTTCTTCTTGTTATACCGCGTTTTTGTTTGGTGTTTCTTTTCTTAAAGAGTTTGGATTGCAGTCGTGTCATTTTGATTTTTTGCTCTATTATTTATTTGGGATTGTTTTGTCTCTCTCCGAGTTAATTAAATCCTTAAACTTTTGGCTATTTTTTTTGTTCTTTCAGTTTCAACATCTTACAGCAAAAACAACCTTCTCCAGCTGATGATGCATCAAAGGCAAAGTATATGGATGTTGCTAGACGCTTAGAGGAAGGGCTGTTTAAAATTGCTAACAATAAGGTATTCTTGCAAAATTCATGTGCTTAAGAAAATAATACGCTAAAACTGGTATTTTACAGGTTGCCACTAGATCCAGCTTGTTTTCTAATGTCCTAGAACTTAAAGAATTTTTTCCTTTCTAACGTGTGGCTATTACAATTTGAACTGCAGGAAGATTACTTGAATCAGTCTACCCTTGAACCTCGGCTGGCAAGTCTAATCAAAGGCAGACAGATGAATAACTACAATCAACGACATGCTAATTCTTCTTCGGTTGGAACAATGATACCCACTCCAGGATTACAACATAGTGGGGGGAATCCAAATCTGATGATTACATCCTCTGGTGACGCTACAATGGCTGGAAGTAATAACATCACAACTACTACTATGAACACTGGAAACCTGCTAAATTCTGGTGGCATGCTCGGAGGTTCTTTCATCATAGCGTATATAAGATATCCAGAAATCTCTCTGCTCATAGTTTTTCTGAACACCTTTAATTCTTTTGTTTGCAGGAAACCTGTCTAATGGATACCAACATTCATCGAATAACTTTGGTCTTGGTTCTGGAGGGAACATGGCATCCATGAGCTCACAAAGAAATACTGGCCAGATGATGCCTACCCCTGGATTTGTCAACAGCAGTACTAATAATAACAACAACAACAATGGGCAGTCTTATTTGAGTGTTGAAGCTTCCAACAATAGTGGTGGATTTTCTGCTGTGCCCATGATGGTATCTCAGCCTCAGCAGCAGCAACAACAACTGAGGCAGGACATTGGTGGCCAAAACAGTCGTATGTTGCATAGCCATGGAAGTCAAATTGGTGTTAGCCTTAGACCTGGCATGCAACAAAAAATGTCTAACAGCTCTATAAATGGTGGTGTTGGGATGAATGCAAAAAGTGTAGATTTAGGTACCAGAAATTCGCAGCAGGCTTATGATAACCTACAGCGTACAGGAATGCAGGGTAACCTTTTTATTTTCCCTCCTTTTTCTTCTTGTCTAGTTTCATATGCATTGTAATTTCTTTTGGGTGCTTGTCCATCAGAATATATGTATAATTTTTTTATGGTATTTACCTTTCAGGTGAAGGATATGGCACAAACAATTCTGACCCTTTCGGATCTGGAAATCTGTACGGTGCTGTAACATCTGTTGGGATGATGACAAATACTCAGAATACCAGTACAACTAGTTTTCAGTCTGTGTCTAGGACTAGCTCTTCTCAGGTAAGTACTCAGTGGAATTCAATTTGCATTCAACAAGGTGCACCAGTGTAACATCAATCAATTTGTCAATTGGAGATACAGAATGTAATTATTTCTGTACACTTTTTTTCGCAGTCACATCAGCAGCAGCAGTGTCAGCAACAGCCTAATCGGTTTCAGCAACAACCCAATCAATTTCACCACCAGCAGCAGCAGTTTCTTCAACAACGACAGTTGAAGCAGCAGAGCCAGCAACAACAGAGATTTATAGGTCATGATGCTTTTGGGCAAAATCATGTGGCGTCTGACATGGTTACACATGTTAAACATGAACCTGGAATGGAGAATCCTAGCGAGTCTATCCACTCCCAGACTCCTGAGCAATTTCAGCTTTCTCAGTTTCAGAATCAATACCAGAACAATGCAGATGACCGTCATGCAGGTTCTCAGATTCTCCCTGCCACAAATCAGAATGATATGTGTACATCAGTTCCTCAAAATAGCCAACAGATACAGCAGATGTTGCAACCACAGAATATGGCTTCAGACTCTATTAACAGTTTTAGCAACCTCTCTGTTGGAGTGAAATCAGAATCTGGTCTCCGTGGTCAATGGCAATCTCAGTCACAAGAACATACTCAAATTTCTAATAGTATGCCGAACGAACGGCACATTCAGGAGGATTTTCGTCAAAGAATGTCAGGAACGGATGACGCTCAGCCTAATAATATGTCTGGAGGGTCTATTATAGGTATCTCATCTACATCAGAATCCCTTAATCCTCAAAATCCTACAGGTACCACTTGTAGATATGGAAACGGAAACCCAGATCCAAGATTCAAAAATCAACAGAAATGGCTCCTGTTTCTACGTCATGCTCGCAACTGCAAAGCGCCTGAAGGGAAGTGTCCCGATCGAAATTGCGTAACAGTTCAGAAGCTATGGAAGCACATGGATAGTTGTGATGCTCCTCAATGTTCATATCCTCGTTGCCGCCACACAAAGACATTGATTAATCACAATCGAAATTGTAAAGAATCTAACTGCCCTGTCTGTATTCCTGTGAAGGCCTTCTTACAGCAACAGGCAAATGCACGGTCCCTAGCTCGTTTAAAAACTGAAAGCGGTGCAGCGAGGTCAGTGAATGGAGCTGGAATATCAAATGATGCAGTACAGACCTCTGCTGGAGCAATGTCTTGTGCTTCGCCTGGTGCTGATATATCAAATCATTTGCAACCTTCATTAAAACGGTTGAAGGTAGAGCAGTCTTCTCAACCTGCAGATGTTGAGACGGAAAGTTGTAAAAGCTCAGTTGTTTCGGTAACAGAAGCACAATCATCTCAGTACGCTGAAAGAAAAGATCATAGGCACAATGATGTACGTGCACCTTCAAAATATTTTGAAGTGAAAGCTGAGGTTTCTGAAGTTTCTGTCCAGGCACGATCCGGTTTCAAAGAGACAAAAATTGGAATTTCTGAAAGTATCCCCAAGCAAAGGCCTATCAGTGAACCTGTTAAACAAGATTTGTCTGATGCCTCACCTCGCCAAGCGAATAACAAAATGGAGAAAGAACCTGAGACACTTAAGAAAGAAAATGTTGCAGTGTCTGGTGAACCTACACAAAAACCTGGAAAGCCAGAGATAAAGGGTGTTTCATTAACTGAATTGTTCACTCCTGAGCAAGTGAGAGAACATATCCGTGGTCTCCGTCAGTGGGTTGGCCAGGTTTGTGATTTTTTTTAACTTTTGATGTTTACACAATAACATGATTAGTTAGTAGTAATATCTTTTTATACGGCTAGTTTGATTAGTTTGCCCTTGTTGTATGTTCGAGAGGATTCATCCGCGATTAATGGAAGCTTGATTGAGCTATTCCGTGAAGCACCTTTTTCCATATCTATCGCAAATGATATTAATTAATGATGAATTTGTTGTCTTTATGTGCTTGCAGAGTAAAGCCAAAGCAGAAAAGAATCAGGCTATGGAGCATTCAATGAGTGAGAATTCCTGCCAACTATGTGCAGTGGAGAAGCTTACCTTTGAGCCACCACCTATTTATTGTACCCCGTGTGGTGCCCGCATCAAGAGAAATGCTATGTATTACACTGTAGGAGCTGGTGACACTCGTCATTACTTTTGTATTCCATGTTATAATGAATCCCGTGGGGATACTATACTCGCCGAAGGGACGCCGATACCTAAGGCGAGACTCGAGAAAAAGAAAAATGATGAAGAAACTGAAGAATGGGTAAACGACTATCCACTCTGTAGCTTTTTTTTGTGTGTTTGTCTCCCGTTTTTGTATGGCTTTTCTGAGTACATTCTGTAATCTGTTTCTATCTATGATAATTTGCAGTGGGTCCAATGTGATAAATGTGAGGCCTGGCAGCATCAGATTTGTGCTTTATTTAATGGGCGAAGGAATGACGGAGGGCAAGCTGAGTATACCTGCCCGTATTGCTTTATAGCGGAAGTGGAGCAAAGTAAGAGGAAGCCTTTACCTCAGAGTGCTGTTCTTGGAGCTAAAGACCTACCGAGAACAATTCTCAGTGACCATATAGAGCAGCGGTTGTTTAAGAGGCTGAAGCAGGAAAGAACAGAGAGAGCCAGGGCGCAAGGAAAAAGTTTTGATGAGGTAATCTAGTGGTGGAGTTTGTCAAGGTTTTACGTCTTTCATGTGTTTTCGCATCTGCAAGCTCATGTTTTTCTATTTGTTTGCCTTAGTGATTATTTGTTGGACACAGTAGATGGAAGCTAATATGGTCTTTTCTTTGATTCCATACTGGCAGATTCCTACTGCCGAGTCTCTTGTGATTAGAGTTGTTTCATCTGTTGACAAGAAGCTGGAAGTCAAATCCCGATTTCTTGAAATTTTTCGAGAGGACAATTACCCAACAGAATTTGCTTACAAGTCCAAGGTAAGAATGATCAAGGCTCATTGTTGTTGTATTTTGTGCATCTATTCATTACTTTTTCTCGGTTCCTCTCTTGAAGTATTTTTCTCACTGTCCACGCCATTTTATTTTACCAGGTAGTGCTGTTGTTCCAAAAGATTGAAGGTGTAGAAGTATGCTTATTTGGGATGTACGTCCAAGAATTTGGTTCCGAATGCGCATTTCCTAATCAACGCCGAGTTTATCTCTCGTATTTGGATTCTGTAAAGTACTTTAGACCCGAGGTGAGGTCTTATAATGGGGAAGCTCTGCGCACTTTCGTTTACCACGAAATTCTGGTAAGTCCTGGACTTATGAAATCTTTGTTATTAACCAATATCTGTGTTTTCTCTTTCTAGACTGTATGGAGGATTGAGGGTATGATTTGATCCTGTGTTTAGATCGGTTACCTAGAATACTGCAAGTTGCGTGGTTTCACGAGCTGCTACATATGGGCTTGTCCGCCGCTGAAGGGGGAGGACTATATCTTATATTGTCATCCAGAAATACAGAAGACGCCAAAATCTGATAAACTACGAGAGTGGTCAGTTCAGTTACCTTTTTGGGATAAAATTCATAAGCTTTTTTAATTCATTTGCATAATCCAAATGCTCTTGTTGTTCTTCGCAGGTACTTAGCAATGTTGAAAAAAGCTTCAAAGGAGGGCATTGTTGCAGAAACTATAAATCTATATGACCATTTTTTTATGCAAACTGGTGAATGTAAAGCTAAAGTTACGGCAGCTAGGCTCCCATATTTCGATGGTGACTACTGGCCAGGTGCAGCAGAGGATCTTATATACCAAATGAGTCAAGAAGAAGATGGCAGAAAGGGCAATAAGAAAGGAATGCTCAAGAAAACAATTACAAAAAGGGCTCTAAAAGCTTCTGGGCAGACTGATCTATCTGGGAATGCATCCAAGGATCTGCTGCTAATGCATAAAGTGATATGTTCTTTCTATGGATCTACTACCTTTTTTGTTTGTTTTTGTTGTTCTTGTTACTTATATTCACCTGTGTTTTTTTCAGCTTGGTGAGACCATTCACCCAATGAAGGAGGACTTTATCATGGTCCACTTGCAACCTTCTTGCACACATTGCTGTATACTGATGGTATCTGGAAACCGTTGGGTCTGCAGTCAGTGCAAACACTTTCAGATTTGTGATAAGTAAGAATTTATCCTTTCTATTCTGCTCTTTGATTGAATAAATATTTTCTTTGCTGTATTACACAGAAGAATTTTACTGATTAGTAAAATGCTATTCTGCCTTTCAGGTGTTATGAGGCTGAGCAGAGACGTGAAGACAGGGAAAGGCATCCTGTTAATTTTAAGGATAAACATGCGTTGTATCCCGTGAGTTGCATTTGCTTGTTGAGGATAGTGTCATTTAGCTTTGTCTCTGATCGGTTTTATGAATGTTGGTGGTATTGACTTTGCAGGTTGAGATTACTGATATTCCGACAGATACGAGGGACAAAGATGAGATACTCGAAAGCGAGTTTTTCGACACAAGGCAAGCGTTCCTGAGTCTTTGTCAAGGGAACCATTATCAGTATGACACGTTGAGGCGGGCAAAACATTCGTCGATGATGGTCCTGTATCATCTACATAACCCAACCGCTCCTGCCTTTGTCACAACCTGCAATGCGTGTCATCTTGACATTGAAACTGGTCAAGGCTGGCGCTGTGAAGTATGTCCAGACTACGATGTGTGCAATGCCTGTTACAGTAGAGATGGTGGAGTCAATCATCCTCACAAGTTGACTAATCATCCATCTTTAGCTGATCAAAATGCTCAAAACAAAGAAGCAAGGCAATTGCGAGTCTTGCAGGTATATTCTTCTACTGTTCCTTACTAAAAATGGTGGTGCTTCTCTCTTGATCGTGAAATTTCTATGCAAATTCAAACATTCTTTTTTTTTTCCTCTTCTGGATTTGCAGCTTAGGAAAATGCTCGATCTCCTGGTACATGCATCACAATGTCGTTCCCCACAATGTCAATATCCCAATTGCCGGAAAGTGAAGGGACTATTCCGACACGGGATACAATGCAAAGTACGTGCTTCGGGAGGTTGTGTTCTATGCAAGAAAATGTGGTATCTTCTGCAACTCCACGCTCGGGCCTGCAAGGAATCCGAGTGCCATGTACCTCGTTGCAGGTAAACGATCGTTATGATGATTCTTTTCATTTAGATATCAGAAATGATTTGGCCCATGTGATTTTGTGTTGATGATCATTGTGAACCTCTCTCTCTCTCTCGCTATATTCAGAGACCTGAAGGAGCATCTGAGAAGATTACAGCAGCAATCAGATTCACGGCGCAGAGCAGCTGTGATGGAAATGATGAGACAAAGAGCTGCGGAAGTCGCTGGGAGCTCAGGTTGATCATAATTTGTACATTTGGAAAGATCAAATCGAAGTTCCTTTTCTCGAAGGTAACAAAGATAGAGAGCCAATTCCACTTTACTCCACCTTGATCATTCTTCTTTTGAAGAAGAAGAAGAAAGAAGAGCAGGCAGTTAGAGAGAGACTAATGGTGAAATTAGCTTAGATTCGTATTTAACATGCGAGGTCAAAACCCAGAGTGTGACTTTGACTTTCAGAAAAAGAAGATTAAAGAGGAAGAGCAAAGTCAGTCTTGTGCAAAGAGATGACAGAGTCTTGAATTTCAAGGTCAGTAGTGGTTTGGCTGGGTGATCTTTTGATTCTATACATAGTACACACGCACACACAGACTTTCATTACTTGTTTTATTTTTCTTTTTTTTGGGTAATTTATTGTATTTTTGTAAATTGCCATTTCTGATTTGGAAATGGCAAGAGTGTAACATATACAGTACGTTAACGTGTTCCTTGCAATCATAGTAAGAGTCTTTTAGAGACTCTCTTCCACTCTTTTGTGTTATGTTTTTGTTTTTTTGTTTTTTTGTTTTTCTATTTTGATGAAATTGTATTCACAAACTTTTTAGTCATAATAATTTAGTCTTTGCTTTCAAAGCAAGATAATTATATATAATTGTTAGTAGAGCATCTGCATTACGAATATCTTAATACATTTTTAACTATTAGAAATGAAAAAAAAAAAAAAAAAAAAAAGTGGAGTGAGAGTGAAATGCTATTCTCATTTGAACCATTATGAGTAACTTCGAAAGATTCATTCTACATACTTTTGTTACATGGATAAATAATTCCTCAGAAGAAATGTAGAATCTGATTACCACGTAAGAAAAAGACTCTGGCATTCATGTAGCTTGAGAAGAATAAATATTCCAAGCCACCAGATATTGACACGTGTTTAAACAAGATAGAGTGTTGAACCAGAACCACTAGCTTAATGTTCTTGAGAAACACAAGACACAGAGAATCTGATGAGGAAAAAAAAAGAAAAAGACCAAACCCAAAATCAGTAAAGTATTATTATGATAATACACTCTCCGTCTCCTTCTCTCCACCGCACGAATTTCTTGAACAATAATCGAGGTAGATCTCAGTGTCAGAGCCGCTTGGTCACCAGATCGGCTTCAGCGGCGGTTCGTATATCGACGGCGGCGATTGGGGCGATAGCGACGGTGGTTATGATGGCTTCCGTGTCCGTAGCTTCCGTAGAGCTTCCTCCCCCGCCGCAAGACGGCGAAACGCTATCAAACGTACCACAAACGCTATCAGGTGAAGACTGCAAGAAACAGAGGATTCAACGTCCCAAATCCAAAAACGCAGAGAAATGCACCGTTAAATGCGTCAACACCTGCATTCGCAGCGGAGACGGAGAAGGACCTCTCAATATCAGAAGGTATACTCTCTCTCTCTCTTTCTCTCTCTCTCTCTCTCTCTCACTTTTCCTTAATTACTGATCTTTTAATGACTGTTTCTGATTGAAAAAAGGCCATTAGTGGTATTCAAGCAAGGATTTCGCAGCCGTAATTACTGGTAAATTTTGTTATTTTGTATGATTAACGGTTTTTGTTGTATCATGAATCTTAATCGGAGGAGCTGATGATTCTTCTTATTGTCTTATTTTTGTGTGTGTTTAGCTTAGTGGAATGTTCTGATATTTGCAATTTGATCGGAGATGGTGACTATGGACCCTGAAAGGATGCAGAAGAAGTGAAAAAGAAAAAGGGTCTCGAAAACTAAAAGGATGCAGAAGAACACAGAGGAGAAAGGCAACTGATATACCTTCAGATTTTGTAGATTCTCTTTTTAAAAAGGATTAAATTTGTTTAAACACGATACATTATACTGTAATCTCAATTTAAACGACAATGTCATCCATCGTCAATCAAGTGGGCTCGGATATTGGGCTTGTATTCTTTTTTTTTGTAGCCCAAGTAAGAAAGAAATAGGCCCTGTTTTAGTTTTAGGTTTTTTTTTTTTTTTTTTTTAATGTTTTACTTGTACTTGTCGTTGTCCTGCTTATTTTATAGAGACATGTTTTATCTTTATATCTTCCAATCTAATGGTTCAACCAATTTGACCAAATTATTGATCCATTAATATGAAAACACTTTGGTTTTTCTATTCGTTTTAAAAACTCTAATGAATCAAATCAAATAGTAAATGAGATTAGACTTTATGTTAGAAATTGGACTAAACAGTAACCAGTAAAGAGATATTTACGCTCACCAACACTTTTCTAAATCTGAAGTATAATCACACTTATAGAAACTTCTGAGATTTGGCACACTTTTCCCTAAGGCAAATCTAATATACCATCTCAAACTCAAATACAACAGCTATTCGTATATCGGTTTAGATCCTATATATCATCCAAGCAAACATCGACCGTTGGGAGTTTGGTTGCCGTCGCCGATGATTGACAGCAAATTATGTTGCTGCGTGTAGGCTCAATGTTTGATGCGTACATGTCCCGGTTTCGTCTCACTTTTCTTAATTAAAAAACGTACTTTCATAGAATGATATTTTAACATGCATGTGTCATTCACAGTCACTAGTTACGATTGCGTTAATAACTTAATTATACAACTTTCATCTGTTTATGGGCTGTGGAATAGCTGTGTGGTCCCTTGACTGGTGAATCTTGAACATTTTCTTGGCTTAGGAATCGATATATATCACGTATCCGTAATTTATTTGGAGGAGTCGATTTCCAATCAAATTAATATGTAGTTGTTTTTTCTCAGATCAATACAGAGACTTTTTGTTTTGGATGACTCGACGATCTAAACCTCAGTTTATTGTGCTATTCTTATTCATACCATCAAATAAGTAAAGTAACCACTATGTGTACGTTGTGATCACGTCCGATTCTTATTTTAACGAATCAGCATTTTATCTACACGTCTACTATTATGTGAATCTTTGTTGTCACCTCCCAGGCTGCCAACAATCAATTCCAGGTGTTTTATTTATCGTTTATTGTTTTTTTTCCTTGGGTTCTATTTCATTGTTGATTTGTATCGGTTAGCATGATTGATCTATTTGAAGGGTTTAGGCTTATTGTTTTGTTCTTTGCTTTTGACCTTCTATATAAACAATTTCATGTCTGCATCATATCTCATCCATCGATTTGATTTTCATCGTTTAGGATTATTTTTTTCTTGGGTTCTATTTCTTTGCTGATTTTGTTTAGGGATCGGTTAGTATAATTGATGTATTGGAAGGGTTTAAGGTTATTTTTTTGTATCATCTCTCATTGACTAATTTTGTTTTTTGTTTTTGCGGATGAGGATTATCACAATTTCCTTGTGACACAAAGATACGAAGACACCAATAAACACCAAGAAAGAAGAAAAGAAATGGATCATTTCTTCTTTGTTTTTTTTTGTTAGATGTGTTGTGTTTTGTATCTTTGCCAATAATAAAGGACACATGTGTAGGATCATTTGACACAACAAATTTACAATGTGTTTGTCTAAACGATCTCCATAAAATTCGCAATTACAATACTTCATCTTCTCTTTCTATATTTGCCAAAAGGATTCACAAACATTTTTTCTAAGCCACTTTTTCTCAAATCCATGGCTCTCCATATAATATCATTTTTATCCTATATACATGGCCGTTTTTAGTACGTAACAAACGGAACAATCGATTACTCCAATTTAAAAACAGTTTTTTTTTCTATAATTTTCTTAAAAATTATTATAAATCATGATCCATGTTAAAGAAAAAAAAATCGTACACTATTAAATATACACCTTCAATAAGAATTTTAAACAAGGTTTATAAAAAGTTTAAGACGACCATGCCTATAAACATATCTTTAGAAATGAATCGAAGATAAACTAAGTTAATAAATGCATTAATATAGATCGCTACGCTAATACATTAGGTTCACTATGATTTGAACTGGAAATACAAATCAGATTTGAAATTACTTCGTTCACCAGACAGTTTTTTTATATTAAAACCTTAATTATATTTTGTAAAATATAAATAAAATCAGCGAGTGATGGAAAGTTTCACCTAATCCTCTCCTAAACTTTGGTTATAAATTCTCTTCTTCACAGCATCCTCCAACGACCCACACCACACAATATTCTTCTCATTCTCTCCACAAACAACAAACAAACCAATGGGAGAAGCGACGGTGCAAACTGATTTCCACGTGACCACCATTAGAAAGCAGCTCATCACGGCGGCTCTTCCCCTCCAGGACCATTGGCTCCCTCTCTCAAACCTCGACCTCCTCCTTCCTCCTCTCAACGTCAGCGTTTGCTTCTGCTACAAGAAACCACGTAACATCGCTACTAATCTAGTGGCGCCCAATGAAACCCTCAAGACGGCTTTGGCGGAGACTCTTGTCTCCTACTACGCCTTTGCCGGCGAGATCGTCACCAATCCCTCCGGAGAACCGGAGATTCTCTGCAACAACCGCGGCGTAGATTTCTTGGAAGCGGGTGCTGACGTGGAGCTCCGAGAGCTTAACCTCTCTGATCCTGATGAAAGTATTGCCAAGCTTGTTCCCATCAAGAAACATGGAGTCATAGCGATTCAGGTAACAGTTTCGGCTTACGACATGTAACAGTTCATTACATAGCAACAACATATATAATTCGGTTTTTGTTCAATTGTCTGAACAGGTGACTCAACTGAAATGTGGGAGCATAGTTGTGGGATGCACATTTGATCATCGTGTAGCGGATGCGTATTCGATGAACATGTTCCTTGTCTCATGGGCCGAGATGTCTAGATCCGATGTACCAATCTCTTATGTACCATCGTTTCGAAGATCTCTGCTAAACCCTCGACGACCATTGATCGTGGATTCATCTATAGACCCGATGTATATGCCTGTCACGTCCTTGCCTCCTCCTCAAGAAACTTTCGATCCAGACACTATCCTCGCGAGCCGTCTCTGTTACATCAAAGCGGATGCATTACAAAAGCTTCAAACCCTAGCTAGCGGCTCGAAGCTTACAGTTAAAAGGACGAAACTCGAGTCGTTCAGCGCGTTTCTATGGAAACTCGTGGCGAACCACGCGGCAAAAGATCCAGTCCCGAGCAAGAACTCGAAAATTGGGATCGTCGTGGACGGAAGGAGGAGACTTATGGAGCAAAAACACAATACTTACTTCGGAAACGTTCTTTCAATCCCGTTTGGTGGGCAGAAAATCGATGACTTGATCAACAAGCCATTGTCTTGGGTGACAGAAGAGGTTCACAGATTCTTGGAGAGTTCAGTGACCAAAGAACATTTCTTGAATTTGATCGATTGGGTTGAGACTCGCCGCCCAACACCTGCGGTTTCAAGAATCTACAGCAACGGATCCGACGACGGACCCGCCTTTGTGGTTTCCTCCGGGAGGAGTTTTCCGGTGACTAAAGTGGATTTTGGGTGGGGCTCGCCGGTTTTTGGATCTTACCATTTCCCATGGGGAGGAAGCGCCGGTTATGTGATGCCGATGCCGAGCTCGGTGAACGATGGAGACTGGATGGTTTACTTGCATCTTACGAAAGGACAGTTGAAGTTCATTGAGGAAGAAGCTTCTCATGTGCTTATACCCATTGATAATGATTACCTCAAGATTTAAAACCCTAACCTGTTGGTTAATGCGTTATCAAGTATAGTTATTAATGTGTGTGTGACTTCATATATGTCATATGTGGTATTATGTTTGCGTTACGTCTTTTGATTTTAATTATTGTATAATTATTGTATATATTGTAAGATATGTTGCAACCATATAATGTACTGTCTGTCAAGATCTGAATCAAATCGTATCCGTCTTGTTGTTCCATCTCCTTCAATGTTACTCAATATAATATTTGACATTAATTAATTATTCGATTATGTTTTTTTTTGTTTTGTCAACGACATATATTCAAGGGTTTGAAACTTCGAATGCAAGTAATGACACATTAACACTAATACAAACCATTATATTACATTTCATGTTTAGTTTTTATTCAATTATATTTTGTCTAGTTTTATTCGATTATATTTGCATGATTTTCTTATAAAATTCCTCTTATTCATTATATCATAATCACCTTCTCACGGTTAATTTTATACACCCATGTTTATAATTTCTTATAACTCCTCTTATTCAATATGTGAAAATCACCTCACGCTATGATACGATTACTATGCCTTATTTATACGCATTTGATGTCTTTAGTATAATCTTGTGCTTATTAGTGTTAGATGTGTCACCATTTAGAATCAAATCCTTATATACATAGTATATATATATATATATATACATATATATTTATCCATGATCCACCATTTATCATAGATTGATTCCATCTTCTATTTGTGACTTACAAGTTACATTTCATCGCAGTTACCGATACAAAAAGTGTTGTTATTGCTGAATATTAATGTTGGGATGTAAGCTCTTGATATTCTAATTATGTAAATTAATATAAAAGCTATTCTGAATATATATATATATATATATGAATATCAGGATATATAAATTAGTAATTTTCATACTTAAAAAGGTGTTTCTGATGTAGTTAAGTTGGTATTAGTAGTATTGACATGTGTAGATGTTATATACTAGCTAGTTGGAGCTTGGTCCTTGTGCGGTTGTACCATTATGGTTTAGTCAAGACTACTCTGACTGTAATTGGTAACACTAATAGCTAATTATAGTTTTAATTATCCACTAATTGGTTGTTGATCTTCCTAGTGGTTGTATTTTACCCAGAATAATCATTAAACAGATTAACTATAAAACCAAGACCTACGTCTACTACTATAATATATTTTTCTTGTTACTATCAAACATAAAATAATGCTTCTTTCTATATATACTAATGCTTAAAAACGGTGACGCGTTCACTGCACTTGTCACTAATCACTTAAGTATTATACAGTATACACCAGTCACCAAACACATTTTTTCCAAACGTTCATGAAATAAACAATATAAATTTTGTAACAAAGGGAAAAAAAATAATGGAAAAGAACAACAAAACTATAAGTCCTTAAACAAAAGGGTTATAGTCGTGTGTCGCATATGTCTCGACAAAACTTAGATGTGCCAGATGTGAATTGTGCGAACCAGGGCGGATCTACTGGGCGCAGGTGCCCTTAAGAAGGTTTTCAAACATTAATGTTATTTTGCCCCACTAAGGATTATTATTTTTAAGGTTCAAAAAAAAGAATTATGATTTTGTCCGCATGAAAATCGCATCATTTTTGATTGCTGAGTTAAACATAAACTAAAAATTAAAGTCCAGTAACAAAAATATAGGATACTTTCTTGTCAAGTAATGCAACCTTTTTACCAAAACAAAAAAAGTAATGCAACTTATAGATAACTAGCTAGATACAATAGTCCACTGCTCAAACTTAATGGGGTGCAAGTGTACTTCTCAACGTAGAAAGTTTTTGTATTGTAAAGTAAAAAGTGTGACTGAATTGTTCATTGCCGTTGGGGAAGATAAGAAATATTTGGTTTCGAATCAAAAGTCATTTCATAACAACTAAATGCCCTCTTTTTTTCTGTCAACCAACTAAATGTCCTTTCTAACATTTTTTTTTTTGCACGAACGATGGTTAAGTACTTCTTTACTAAAAATCTGATGAATTCTTTTATTCTTTTATTCAAAACTAAATAAAATAAAGTGATAAGAAATACTTAACATATAAGAAATACATAACATAACATACGGATATAACCTTTAACTAAAAACATACGAATATAGCTATTTTGGCACATATAGTACAACACTTAGATATCTCATGGCTTGATTCTACCAGTAGAATTTTTGTTTTCTGATAAAATCCTAGTAGTACAATGATACCATTTTTTATTTCAAAATTTGAACTCAAGTTTTTCAAAATCTATCTTATAGATAAAATAATAACTAGTAGATTTTAGTTCCTGAGTCCATTGTAAGGTGAGATTCTGGAACTCAGACATTCAAATATTTTGATCCAATGTGTTTGATATATTACATACATGTTTGTGTCAACAATATTCTTACATATATAAGTCACGCTAAGTGTGAGATTCTCTTTTAATTTAGTTCTGGAATCAAAGTATTTGGCAGATACTTAGCCCACTTTAGTTCTGGAATCAAAGTAAATATCAAAATACTTTTTTTCTCTCTCTCTGATATCAAGATATTTTAATTTATGCTTACGAAAAAAAACATTTAGTGATAATATCACTCTATCAATTGTATTGTACAAATTCATCAAAATTTATAGATAGTTGTTAGACTTAAGAATTGAAATATTGTTAAAAATATTGCTTATACTTATAAGATATATGTAGTAATTTGGATGTTGCTAAGAAATTCTAAGAGACTCACAATTACCATCCAAGAATTGGGCTATATGGCCATAAGAGAGTACATATGGGGGTGGCCAAGCATTTATAATTACTTTCACAAATTCAAAAAGAAAAAAAAACACCTAAATGGTTAATTAAAAGTTTAAAGCGCGCGCAAACACGCATAATCACCGTCATTGCGCATCTTTCGTTCTTCCGCAAAGATTTAAAATAAATCAAAATTAGTAAACAATTGTTCAGCAACAGTTCATGGTCGTGAATTATCATTTGTTTTCCGTTAACCAAACCTCCAATCACAATGGCACATTCCCTCAAACCATCGTCGACTTGTCCGTGAAGCAAACCTGTGAACGTAACCCTAACCCTTAATCCCCTTTTCTATATCTTTCTTCTGAATCAAGATGATGCAGAAGCTTGTAAGGCTCTTTATCGCCTCTCTCGCTATTATCGTCACTTTAGCTCAAGCAAAAACCGAGAACCAAGAAGGTAATTACATTTACGGATTTTATGTCATTGAGAACAAAAAAAAACATGTTTTTATGAGATGAAACACTTGATCCTATCGAGAAATTAATTGGACATGTTTTGGCAGTCTCTGCGTTGAATGTGATGTTCACGAGCTTAAATTCGCCGTCGAAACTCAAAGGCTGGAAATCTAGCGGAGGTGATCCCTGCGACGGTTCCTGGGAAGGCGTCAAATGCAAAGGCTCTTCGGTCACCGAATTGTATTATATATAATCCTTCCTCTAAATTAATGAAGAACCCTAATTTAAGAAACTTTCTTGCATCACAAGTTATCTTCTTTTTTTCCCTCGTTTTGTTCGCAGACAGTTATCAGGATTGGAGCTAAGTGGATCTCTCGGTTATCTACTAAGCAACCTCAAATCTCTCACAACTTTGTGAGAATCCTCATATAATAATCTCATATAGATTAATTTAACATAATATCAGAAAATAACAGTTTTGGCTTTAATTTTGGTGATAGTACAGTGATCTCAGCAAAAACAATTTGAAAGGAAATATACCTTATCAACTCCCACCAAACATTGCCAATCTGTAAGTTCATACATTTGTTTTCTTCGATTGATTGTCACATGAGAAACGAACCGTGATCTGGACATTAATACAGAGACCTTTCTGAGAACGAACTCGATGGAAACGTACCCTACTCGTTATCTCAAATGAATCGTCTCGAAAGCATGTGAGTGCAACTAAAGAAAATTAGTAAAATATCTCTGTTGTTAGTTTGAAAACTCATTAACTGAATTATGTGTGAAATACAGTAATCTTGGACACAACAAGATCAATGGAGAGCTTTCGGATATGTTTCAGAAACTGTCCAAACTCGAAACTCTGTAGGTACAATTCCTTTAGTTATATTTTCTAACACAAGATGTTTACAAAAATCATAAAAATCTGAGACCTTATACACCCTAAATTTATGTTTCCAGGGACTTATCTTTTAATAAGCTCTCTGGGAAACTACCTCAGAGTTTCGCTAATCTCACAAGCCTAAAAAAACTGTAAGAATAAGAAAGAAATCTTTGTTTAGGTTAATTTTTCCTTCGCAGCTTTTTTTTGCCTAATATGTTCGTGTGATTGTACAAGACATTTGCAGGAGAATCGATTCACAGGCGACATAAACGTTCTCAGGAACCTTGCGATTGATGACTTGTAAGCATTAAGAAAAACTCCAAATGGTGTTAAAACCGCAAATCCAAAAAACTTGAAAACAATCGTTTTCTTCATACGTGTGATTACAGGAACGTGGAAGACAACCAGTTCGAAGGATGGATACCAAATGAACTTAAGGAAATAGACAGCTTACTGTAAGTGACACGGGTTGCGTGCTACACAAGAAACAGTTTCAACATAGTAACAAAGAAACAGAGCATATATTACTAAAATTCCATGGTCTCACTCTGTTTTTGCAAATGATTCTGTTTCAAAGGACTGGAGGCAACGACTGGTCAACAGAAACCGCTCCGCCACCACCACCGGGAGTCAAATACGGTAGAAAATCCGGAGGTTCTAAAGAAGGAGGAGGTATGACTGCCATGAATGGAGTGATGATAGCCGGAGCAAGCTTAGGAGTTCTTGTGTTAATCGCTGTTTTGATCGCTCTCGTCTCCAAGAAAAAATCATCACTCTCTCCTCATTTCATCGACGAAGACAACAGCCAACACACACCAAGGTTCAAATCTCTCGCTTCTCATGGATCTTCACAGGAGCTTCGCGTCGATTTCGGCAACGATTACAAAGGTATATATATATATATATATATATACACACATTTCCGACCTAACTTGTGCCGCAATCAACTGGACCAAGATGAGCTTATAATAAGATATTGCAGGTGGGAAATCTGGAGATTCTGATGATGAGAATATGCAAGGGATTGGATTAAAGGGACTAAAGCATTCGGTTTCGTCGCGTGTGGTGTCTTTCAACGATAACGAATTCGCAAACAGGCTCAACGCGAAACGAACCACTTCGACTCGTTCTGCGACGGAATTCGAGCTCTCTGATCTGCAAACCGCAACAGCCAATTTCGCGCCTGGAAATCTACTCGGCCAAGGCTCAATCGGACGTGTTTACAGAGCCAAATATCCTGATGGACGCGTAAGCCTCTGACCTAACGTGTTTCACAAGTAACAATGCAATCGCACACAAATATCTGATCAAATTTGTTTTTTTTTTTGATGCAGACATTGGCGGTTAAGAAGATTGATTCAACATTGTTCGATTCGGGTAAATCAGAAGGAATAACGCCGGTTGTGATGAGCGTTTCAAAGATTCGGCATCAGAACATAGCAGAGCTCGTAGGTTATTGCTCAGAGCAAGGTCACAACATGTTAGTCTACGAGTACTTCAGGAACGGCTCGCTCCATGAGTTTCTTCATTTATCAGATTGTTTCAGTAAACCTTTGACTTGGAACACAAGAGTCAGAATCGCCTTAGGAACCGCTCGAGCCGTTGAGTACGTTCTTTATTAGGAGACACAAGCGCAAATTTACGCGAATTAAACAAAATTAAATTTATATGACCATCTTTGTGTTTGTTTTTTTGTGTGTGTGTGTGTGTGTGTGTGTAGATACCTACACGAGGCATGTTCACCGTCTCTGATGCACAAGAACATAAAGTCTTCTAATATTTTGCTAGACGCAGATCTCAACCCTCGTCTCTCAGATTACGGGCTCTCCAAATTTTATCTTGTGAGTACTACTTAACATAATTATAATTTCTCTTGCAAATGTTTGTAGAAATATATATGGATTTGAGTTTATAGTGAGAATAATTGATAATATGGTGTGACAGAGAACGAGTCAAAACCTAGGAGAAGGATACAATGCACCAGAAGCAAAGAACCCTTCTGCTTACACACCAAAGAGTGACGTGTACAGCTTCGGCGTCGTCATGTTAGAGCTTCTCACCGGTCGAGTTCCATTTGACGGGTCAGTTTTTGAGATTATTTATCTTTGACCCGATTAATGATCTCAGTTTTTTTTTTTTTGTTTTTGAAGTTCCTAAGAAAGAAATCGGTTATCTCATATATATGTTGGCTTTGTGATATAAATAAACAGAGAGAAGCCAAGGCCGGAGAGATCGTTGGTGAGATGGGCGACACCGCAGCTACACGACATAGAGGCATTGTCGAATATAGCGGATCCAGCTTTGCACGGACTTTACCCACCAAAGTCATTGTCAAGGTTCGCCGACATTATCGCTCTGTGTGTACAAGTGGAGCCGGAGTTCCGACCACCGATGTCCGAAGTTGTGGAAGCTCTTGTACGGATGGTTCAACGGTCAAGTATGAAACTCAAAGATGATCTTTCTTCTTCCTATCGAGCCCACGACGATTATGATTACTAGGGATCGTTTAAAGAAAAGTACGTTGAGACTGAGAGATAATTTACTGTCTTAACTTCTCGAAATGAAAGAAAACAAGAGAAGAAGAAAACCAATTACATAATATTTTTTTGTGCTCATTTTTTTTCTTTCTTTCAGTATATTACTTTGCTAGGAAAAAACATTCATATCTGAATAAGTTGAAAGAAATTCTATAACCGGAGGATCTTGAACTGAAATTCAAGCTAATCCGGTTTTGCAGTTTTCCCGATTAATATAAGCCTAATTGCATAATTATTATATCATTCCGATAAGGTATTCCTGACGATGTGGTTTAATTAAGATCCTATCAGATCGTATCTCATAAGTAATATTACATGGATAAGTAAAACGATTAATTAACGACAAACACAGCTTTTCGGTACTCTGCAAGTGCCCATATTGGGAAGGTGTTTCTGTAAGTCGCATAGTGTATCATACATGTATTCATGAACACTCCTAATATTTCCTGCAAACCACACACAACATAAACACAGTGAACAAATAAGCTCGGAGAATACACGCATCAATTATACATTTATGACTGGAGTTAGAAACAAGAAAAGTGGTGGAGTTTTAAAGTCGATGGGTTTTAACAAAGGGACAAAGGAAATAGTTAGATCTAATCTTATTCTTGTGGAGTATATCTGTATATGAACTGGTAAACAATACAAAGAAAGGAAACATATTATTTTGACTCGAGACATATTATGTATATTTCACAGATATCCGTATACATCTATCAAAGAAGAGGTCTCGAGTATGTCTGAAAAATTACCTGTTGAGGAAAATCTCCATTTTCGAGTTGCGAAGTGATTATAAATTTCGCAGCGCGATGAAGAGGTATAGGATCTCTCTCGGCCTGTTGTATACATACATATAAGATCAGGACATATAAGATCAGGAGAAAACGAGAGGTTTCAAATGTAAGCTGGGAGATATTTGAACCTGTCCCGCGTGAATCAGACCCATCATAGCCCACGCGGTCTGCACCAGGTTTGATCCGTTCCCTTCTAATTGTATGTATCTCTGCATGCAAACCATTAAAAAGATTTTACGCTTCTTAAACAATTTTAGGTGAAATATATAACCCCTTAAACTTCGTGTTAATTCATAAAATTACCTGCTCAGGGCATGACATATGGCTTTCTCCCCAACCTCCATTTTCTTTCTGTATCCTTAGCAGGAAATCTACACCTTTGCGCATAGCCAGACAGCTTTTGTAAGTTTTACCAGCCGCGGCTAGGCCGCTAAGGGCAAACCATGTGCCGTAAATGAAACAGATACCCCAGTTTCCATACCTATCGTTACTCAAAAATAAAACTATCGTGTAAGAGTTTTTTCGAACCATAATCCATTAAACATGTCTTATTTGTATTCAAGTCGCATACCATGAACCATCTGGCGTTTGTTTGCTTTCTATGAATCGAACCGCTTTCTCAATAGACTTGATGATCTCTTTTGTCCTGTGATCCGGATAAAGTTGTTTGAACAGAACCAAAGCTTGTAAAACAGCTGAGGTACATTCCACGTACTCACGCTCGGCCATAACATTAGCAAAAAATTCCGTGGGATTCAGAAACTGCAACACCAGTTAAAATGGTAAGTGCTGAGGGATTCTCTTCTTCAGGATTTTCAAATCCGCAAAAAAAAAAAAAAAAACAAATGAACATTCTTATGTGTTGTAGCTCTTACTTCCAACCATTCATGTGCACGGACGGGCTCCCATGCAGTCAAACCTCCATTTTCACCCTACATCAAATAAACTTATATTCGTCAGTATTATTTAGAGAGTACTTTTCCAGAGCATTAGTCTTAGAGATAGATATAATCTCACCTGTAAAGATAGCATGAGATTAACAGAATCATAAAGTTGTTCAGGATCTATTTTCTGGCCAACGACCTCAGCTGGCATCATGGAAAGCAGCATGCAGCACTATAAAACCAAAGGAATTAAGGTTTATAACTCTTGTGGAAACTCTAATTAACTTGTTATGCTTCAACAACTAATTTGATTACTTTCATAGCTTCGGCTGTACAGTCTGAAACTTGCCATCCATGATCTCGATCAGACAAAGTCCATGCTCCTTTGGAAATATGGCGATACATGCTCTTGAAGTCACCTGAAGGGTTCTCTATAACCTACAATGTTCTTCAATTTAGGAAAGAAAAAAAAACAAATTCAGTTGTTCTAAATGTAAGCGACTAAATAAAAAGGATATTAAACCTGAGAGCTTTTTATGTAACTGTGTCCTTTCCTGAGTACATCATCAGTTTTGTCACAAAGATCACTAGCAATTAAAGCTTGAATCGCAAACCCTGTCTCCCAGAGTTGACTTCCAAAGCTCTGCCAAAATTCGGAATGCTTAAGAAATTTTCTCAAGTTATATATACTTTGAGAATATCTTATTTAAATCTATTAGAACCTGCATTTTCAGTCCGTCTTCAGCCACCCACATGTAATCCGGAATTCTAGCGAGATGTTTCTTAAAGTGCTCTCCATTCGGATTCTCAATCCAGCAAGCAAGCATACATAGGACCTGCATAAACATTAAAGCCATGTAATTTGATTTTCACGGTTTTGAGAGCATACATGCACAATCTTTAAAAGGTTTGATCAATGCCTTACCTTCTCAACACATCCGATGGTAATATAATGGCTATTCTCGTCCTCATAATGTATGTGTGACATTGCCAGCCGTAGAGCCTTTTCCCTTACAAGCTTGTTTAACGGCCAACTAGTAAGGAAAGGCTCCACAAAGATGTAAAGAGTATCCCATATCAAATCTTGAACCAGCGGATGAGGATAAAACATGTCTTCCTGCAAAGGTACATGATGTAATGGTTGTGGATTTTCTCCAATGAGAGAGAGAGAGAGTAATTCAAAGATTAAATATGGTCAGCCATACTTTTGCAAATAGACGGCGCGCTTTATTCCAATTGATTTCCTCATAAGGTTGTAAGTGGAGTTCTTGGCGCAATAGCATGATCAGAGGTGTTAGAGGACCAACAAATCTTTTCCCGTATAGGTAAGACATGGGCATATAAACCATCCGGGTATAGCACAAAGTTTTTCCTGTAAAATTTTTGGGGTCAAGAGAGGACATAATAAAACAAAATCTCCAAACATATATAAGGCATATTGCAGTTTCAAGTTGATCCATTTAGTATGATAAATCTCCAAAACAAGAAAAGCACAAACCTAGGTGTATTGGAATAAAAGAAGGTAGAAACCAGATCTCGGGAGGCATAGGGTTGGTTCCAGACCAATCATAGATTCCAAGTATCTACAAAACGAAAAATCGAGCATTGATGATAGTACTAAAACATCTCTGAGTTGTATATTATTAACAAATGGTCCAAAAGATTTTACCGAGAGCCAAACTTTTCCCCAAGAAGGAATATAAGTCACACCACCACGGTCAAGAATCCATTGCCTGGCCCGTTTGCAAGCGTTTTCTCGTCCTCCATTTGGACCTTCGCCGAGCATACGCAAGCAAATGTAATTAAGTGCGGTGCAGAACATAACGCTCTTGCTCTCAACGTGTAAACCCCAGCCACCGTCTTCGTTCTGAAAAATTAAGGGATAAGTTAAAAAGAAAACTCCTGTGATAGGATCACTAGTCAACAAATCTACCTGGTGACAGTAGATATGTCGAAGCATCTCTCTCCGATGTTCTGCATCGAAAACTTTCTCGAGGTGTCCTGTGATATACAAACAAAATACCTGCACGCAAATTCATTGATTCCTCTTCGCTATCACTTATTGGAGACAGATTCTCTTAAAACTAATTTCCTCGCGCAAATTAGAAGTCACTGATTCTAGCCCCTAAGAGTATCCGCCGATAGAAATTGATGGCAGCGAGAGGAAGAGACATACCAACGGAGGAAGGAAGAAGAGAGGTCCGGTGATTTCTCCCGGCCAGTGGCCGTCGGAGGCCTGCAACGCCGAGAAAAAAGACACTCCTCTTCGTAACGCATTTGTCGCTTTTTCATAAGTTATGCCTTCGCCGCCGTCAATCTTCACCGGCGGGATCACTTGCTCGAATTTCGCCTCTTTCAAAAACTTTGCGTACAATCAAAACAAATCAAGCTTTTTTTTTCAATTTTTTCATAAATCAAATCAAGTTAAAACTCCGACGATGATAAAGGATACATTTATTCGCGGAGAAAAACATTTTTTTCCCATTAGTATTATTTTTGTTCTAAATTCTAATCAAGTGACATGGCCCGTTAACTTTAAGGCCCAACATTAAAATGTTTTTTTTTTTAATTTTCTAATTGGTTATCCCAAACCCATAATTAGTTCTGAATCTTCTGATTGTCTCGTCTCCTCTTCACTAATTAATGACTTTACTAAAATGGAAGATTCTTTTCCTTAGGTAACAAAAATTACAACGAGAGTTTGTTGAGTATTGTAAACTTTCTATTTTTATTCTAATAAATTATTGTGATTTTATATTTTTCTTTCATAGGGCATCATCATACTTTAAATTATCAACGCAGATCCTTAAATGTTTCCAAAACGGCGGCCCTGATAAATAACATTCAGTTTTCTTTTTAGGGTAAATTTGATGCCCACTTGCTGACAATTCTACTTTTTTTTTTATTGGGAACAATATGGCAATTTTACTTGAGCCAAAATTTCATATTATTTACTGTAATTTGACTATATATATACAAATTATGAATATAATTAAATGTGTGTGAAGCATTAAAGATGAATACGTGATTGACAAAAAAAATAATAATAAAAAATTCCGATGGGGGAAAATCACAACCTATTGAGAATTTCGGCAACTTTTTTGGCATGATAAACAACTTGTGAACCCAAAATAAAAACTTACCTGCATTCGCCACAAGAGATCGCTGCAACCTTTAACACGGGAACGGTTAGCCAAGAAACCTCGGCGAGCTTCTTCGACGGCGGCTCGTTCTTCCGGTGTGCCGGCTTTGGGATCAAACTCCCATGTTTGACGTCCGACAAAGTTGTTGCTGCTGAACAAGTAAGGGTCTTCCCCATTTCCCTCTCCTATTTTCAACCTCCACATAACGACGACGATCCTATGTACACGTACATTCACTGAGTTTAGAATTTCATGATGATATATATGGTAGTGTCCATGTAAATAATCGCATCATGATATTTATATATATATATATATATAATGTAGTGTGTATACGTACAGTAGAAATAGATTGACGCTATATTTACATACGTATGTAAATTTTAGATGTATTTGTATATATTGAATGAGTCCTCGTGTAACGAATATGAGAAAGAGAGGATGAGGGAGATATGAGAGAGAAAGAGATGTTACTTGTGCTGGAGCGATGTTTGCCTTTACGATTGATAGTTAGATAGAATTTTTTTTTTTTTTTTAATAATTCCTTTGATAATTAGATAGTTTGGAAGGGGTTCATGTACGCCTTTATATAGAGGTCATGATCGCATTCAATGAAGTAATTTCATTTGGATTATCTATAAAAGAAATTATTACAACATTAATTAATTACTATCTATTTCCTTTTACGTAAGGGCTTTTTCTTCTTCTTCTCAACGTATAATTGCGTTAATATGTGTTCTTTGCTTTTTTTGGAGTAAACATAATATGGACTCACAAGACTTCGTGAACTAAATCAAGTTCTTATGAAATCGTAAATCATTAGTTCCCGGGACTCGAGGACAAAATATCAAGTCTCAGATACTCCCAAAAGGCAAAATCAAATAATGATATGGCCCATCTGTTTAGTTCATGCAAGTCTTGAACTCAACATAGAATAAATGAATATTCCTTTCTTTTTTTTTCATTATGTAGATTCAAAACAAAAATATCAGTGTGTTATTGGCTCTCCTTTAGTAGTATAAAGGTATTTCTCTTCATAGTCTGTTCTCAGAATAGAAACAAACTTTGTTGTTTGAACTAAGCACTCTTTAGATCATGCAACTCGACATAGAAAAGGTGAGCAAGAAAATTAAAGGAAAAAAAAACTCAACATAGAAAATATGTGAAACAAACACTCTTTTGTTATAGATTTCGCGAGAGAGTGTAGAGACCACTCACATAAATGATTGTAGTCGAAGTCGTCGTTGATTATATATACTTTTTTCACTCCATCAGTTTAAAAGTTGTTTGTTTTAACGACTCACGATCATTCAAAAGTTTTGTTGTTGTTAACAGATATATAAAATATCAGCATTTAATCACAACTGTACATTGGCAGATCTAACCATAAACGCCACGCGTACCGTCGTAGATGCAGAGTGGGCAGATGTCATCATCTTAGCTTAGTGATATTTGAGGGAAAATGGTACGCGTACATAATGTGACACGCACATGATCGTTATGCTCTTAATATAGTAAGTTGACAAAAACATACGTAGAGAGAGTGAAAGAAATCCAACTCAATTTGTCAAATGCCAATTATAACGCTTACACACGTACGGCTCCTCTCAAAGAGCTTTGAGCTATCCTTAGTTTGTGATGTGACTGGTTGGTGGTGTGGTAGGTGCGGCCGTACCGTTCCTAACCGTTTCTAACTCTTTATACGGCAACGATTTAACTCCAAGTGCCGTAAGAAGAAGGCTCTTAATTTTTATCATGTAAATATCTACTAAAAAAGATAAGTTGAATGTTTCAAATTTATCTAGTGTGATCATAAATATGATATCTTCTATTATTATTTGAGAAATATACTTAAAAAATAATATTTATGTCATATGTTATTAACAATTTTATCTTGCTGAAGTGTCAATATTAAAGAGCTTCTCAAGAAGTTTTTAGTATTAGACTAACTTTACTAAATTAATTACATCATATGCTATTAACGTTAGTTTAGTTAGAGATTAATTTATATCAAATATATATTTAATACTCAAACATTTAATTTGTAAAAATATTCTCTCTCTTTCTATTTCTTATCAACATATTTATAAAACTGAATACATAATATTACTTATGTTATTAAACCTTATATTTATTATCTCATATTTTTAATCTTAATTTTGTTAAAAAATTATATTATCTATTTAATAATAAAAATAAAAAAATCAAACATATTTTAATTCAGTCTTTTATATCAAAGCAAAATATCTTAGTCTGATGTTGGATCGGTTAGATAGAACATATTAATCCAATTTAGTATATTTAATGTATAATTTCATTCATATAAAATACTATTAAAATTAATTATAAAACTAATAATTATCTAGTATTTATGCAATTATATTACAAAATAAATATAACTTTAATTATTATTTACAATTTTATAATTAACATACATATTTGAAATATAAATATCAGCTAATATTTTGTAGTTGTATTTATATATGTTATATTTGCATATTTGAATAAAAGAATTATAATTAATATTTACTCTGCTTACGGTGTGGATAATCACCTAATATGTTATTAACCATGATCTAGAGAAGATCAAGCTTTCCGCACATGAAAATCTTGGTTTCTTAAAAAACTTTGGATTTTTCAGATTATAGGTCATTTAATAAATGTCACATGCATAACTCAAAACTAAATAACATAATCTTTGTTTGATTTGCACGACTTTTGATCTCAATGAATAAAGAGCGCGGAAAAAAATACAGTCATAAACGTATAAAAAAAGAGAGTTATGTGTGTTTTACCAATTGCCATTAACAACACCGTGTAAGATAGTTGGCTATTGTATGTGACGCCAACTATGCTGTAAGTTCTTTAATAATTTAGGTCAATATAAATAACATAAATGAAATGATTTAAACAAATAAATAACATGATTGCTATATTTAAATCGTTTCATAGGGAAGACTTTTGAGTGCAAGGGTAAATGATCGGTATAGTCATTCTAAAGGAGTAATGAAAGACACATGAACTATCACCATTATTTTAACAAACAATTTTTACCATACCACCATTATCCATTTATGACAGCCACGTTACATTTCTACCTTGGGGGACACAATACCGTGCCTAATGAACAAAAAACTAGACTTAAGGCCACATCAAAATTAACAAAAGTATAGGACCACATTAATTTCAAAACTAGGCTTATGTATAAAATTTAATATATGTGTTTAGCTTAATTGTTTGAAGAATTCCATAATATTAAAAACTAAATAGTTTGATTATCATATCTATAGGAAATTTATAAGTGGTTTTGTAGAAAAGTGAAAGAAATTGTAATTTAGAATTTCTGTATTATCATGGTATTAATTATTGGAATTAGTTTACAGTTATTTGCATCTGAAAAAATTAACTGTAAATTATTTATAATTTAAACCATAGAAAAAATATAAATACATCCCAAATTGATTGGAAAATTTATAAGTAAGATTTATTCTTCACTAGTCAAATACTATTCAATGCTCATCTTCACAACCGAACATTTGAATTCCACTGCCATAATTATCCTGGGGCTTTTAAATACATCCATTTTTTTAATAATCTAAACACTAGTTTTTTTTTTATTTGAACATTATCTAAAGTAGATTCCTAGATAAATTTTGGGAAAGAGATGATTCTTCATTGATACTCACGTCTCAAACAACCAACCAACAACAATTTTACCTAAAAAAAAAACCAACCAACAACAAGTCTATCTTCTTCTTTTTTTTTGTAACTGTGAAAAAAAAACACACTTGAGGATGACGCTTTGGGTGTATGTGAAGAACTGAAGATGCATATCTTATGATATATGAATGTACAAATACCACATGAGAGATTACTTGCTTTGCAAGCGAATACCAACAGGCAACCACCAACTATAGTTTTCTCCTTTAAGGTTGGCTTTCAAACCCATGCATAATGCATGCAAATTACCTTTGAAACGCGCGTGACCTTTTTTTTTTTCTTTTCTTTAAAGATTAACTTGTGTGTTTCTGGACTCGCATGTTTACGACCTTACTTGATCAGGGTAAAAAAAAAAAATGGAAAAAATTGTACAAAATATTTCTTGCGCTTCATCTTTGGAGTTACTTTTGTATAACAAATTTAAGTACATGTAAAGGTTGAAATCGAAATGTCACAAATATATTTTTTTTTTGAATGAACTGTTAATATCATCAAAAATGAGAGCGTTTAATTTGTAGGACTACAATTAGATGCTAACTAGCCAGGAGGTGCTAACAATTAGATGCTAGCAATCTGAAAATAATAAAAAAGCAAGGAAAATCTAACAACTCTGGGAAGAGCTTTGAAGCGGATCAGATGAGGTGCCACAGCTAAGGCTTATATATCCAACTACCTGGCCCATATCGTTTTAATTAACTTTGGTTTGTAACGGATGTCCTCGAATGAGTTGTATATACATTACGCTATTTAATGTCTAGAGAGTTTATTGGAAATTTTCAGATTTAAACTCAAATAATTTTCACGCAAAATGAAAATATAGAACAAAAATCAATCATTTTCATTTTTTGGTTTGAAGTTTTATTTCTAAGTTATAAACTAATTAATAAATTAAAAATTCAGATTGCAACTCATTTTTTCACGCAAAAGGAAAATATAGAGTAAAAATAATCATTTTCAAACTTTTAGGTTTTAAGTTTTTTATTTCCAAGTTAGAAATTAATAAAATTTTAACAAAAAATTTATATGTGTGTGCGCGTGTAAATCAATTCATTTTCAACTGCTTCTCTTCTTTTCTCCACATAGATTACGTGCATCTCTCTCTCTCTATATATTATATATATACTCGATGCACCATTATTTAGATTATTAATTAATTAATTAAGACCTAAAGGATGTGGAAGTTGAAGATAGCAAATGGAAACAAAGAGGAGCCCTACTTGTTCAGCACCAACAACTTCCTTGGACGGCAGACATGGGAGTTTGATCCAGACGCCGGCACAGCGGAGGAACGAGCCGCCGTCGAAGAAGCTCGCCGGAATTTTTTTGATGATCGTTTTCGGGTTAAAGCTAGCAGCGACCTCATATGGCGTATGCAGGTATTTTTTTTTTTCTCGTTTTCCTTTGTTGTCAACAATTATTTATAAATTAAAAGTAAGGATTGGCAAACCATGCAAAACAAGTGAAAGACAAATTTACAAATGCGAATTAAATTATTTTTTGTCATATTTATATTATTCTTATTTAAATGAAGTCTGGTGCTGATATTTGTCATTATCAAGACTTAAGCTAGAAAATGAAGCTGAGCATGCCGTATTCATAAAATTTCTTGAACTCTTTTTTAGTATATAGATACATTCATAAAATTCAAGAGCTTTTTCACTGCCGTATCATAAACATTTTTAGTGTCACGTACAACTTAATTATACATGTGATCAATACAAGCCTAAATTTGGTTAAATCTATCTAGAATGCATGTACATCTAATTTATATATATATATCTGTAGCGACAGAGCTATAACATTATGAAATATTCTTTTTTTTTCAAACGAAGGGTTGCATAGAATATTATGGAAATATAGTTACACGATTAATTAAAAATGGTGTAACTAAAATTATAAACTAATGTTACGAAATATTATTTTTCGAAGTGGCGAGCTTTTGTTCGTCCATGGATATAGACCATCAACAATCCAACGTACGAGAATATCTAAAAGTATCCCATTTCTGTAGACAGTTATATGTTTTCAGTATAGATTAATATTTTAAGGAAACGGTTTTGACATCCTAAAGTTTTCGTAAAACATGGATTATAACATGCACCTGGCTAAAGAACGTGATTATGGGGTAGGTCCATATTTTTAGTTTTTGGCTAACCCTAAATAGCAAAAATCGTTAACCATTTTACTTAGTAAAGAGAGAAATCAAGAAGTTTTATACAACTCAAATGATATAAAATAATTTTATTCGATAATTTCTTTTAAAAAGCACGATCAACCGTTTACGGATTACTCTTTAATGGGGTTTGAAATTCACACTTTGATTGGATTTTTGAAGTCGGGGGAAATATATTGGGTCCGAACTGTAAAGTTATTATAACAGTAAGGGCCTACCTTTAAATAAATAGACAAAAAAAGATATCGCCGGGAAAATTCGCAAGAGCGTTTCGAGACCGTCGACGGTGACCTTACCGGCGATGGAATATCCATTTACTTATCTGAGTCCCCTCGCTTCTCCTTCCCAGTAAAATCCTAATCGGGTGTTTCTTTAACTGGGTTCACTGGAATGGAGAAAAACAACAACTTTTCTTTTTCTAAATCCGATCGAGATTACGGTGATTAAACGCCTATATCGGAATCTACGAAATTTAATGGGGCCAGTCAACAATGGTCTTGTGTTGATTATACTTTGAATTTGGGTCATTAGCCCCTATGATTCTAATCAACCTCTCTATGGATTCGAATCCGTTCGTGTGGTTTTGTTCTTCACCAGTTGAATGTTCGATGCAGTTTTTGAAGGAGAAGAAATTCGAGGAATCTATACCTCCGGCTCCGGTGAAGGTTGAAGACGCCAAGAAAATCACGAGCGAAGCAGCTACAAATGCGTTAAGGAGAGGAGTCAATTTCTTATCGGCATTGCAGGCCAGTGATGGCCACTGGCCTGCCGAAAATGCTGGTCCCTTGTTCTTCCTTCCACCACTGGTATTGTCTCTAAATGTTCATATCAACGTCTATTTCACTTGCAATAGTGCTACAATAATCTAAGAACAAATGTGTAATTTTTAGACTTGAAACAAGAGAAATATTTGTGTGATATATTAGAGGCTAAGCTCAGCAGAAAGTGGAGAGAGAGAGGGTGTCATATTTGGGCAAATTTCTGTATCTCTGATGATCTTCACTGTTTGTAAAGTACAGGTTTTCTGTTTATTCGTCACTGGACATCTCCAGGAGATATTCACCAAAGAGCATCTTCGAGAGACCCTCCGATATATCTACTGTCACCAGGTACATTATAGGTAGATCTGCAAAATGTACCTCTTACTTAGAAACCCTTTTCAGTCACTTTCTTACTGTTACTTTGAGATGTGTTTGTGTTTCTTTTGCAGAATGAAGATGGTGGGTGGGGATTACATATAGAAGGCCACAGCACCATGTTCTGCACCACACTAAACTACATATGCGTGCGCTTACTTGGAGAAGGTCCAAATGGAGGACCGGGAAACGCCTGCGAACGTGCCAGGAAATGGATTCTTAGCCATGGTGGTGCAACCTACATACCATCTTGGGGGAAAACTTGGCTTTCGGTAAATATCCGTTTGTGTATTTTTTTTTTTTTTTTTTGTAGTTCAATAGACAAAACAAGATTCAGAAGATTGTTTTAGTTTTGGTTGAATGTTTTGTAGATACTCGGTGTATTTGATTGGTCAGGAAGCAACCCCATGCCTCCAGAGTTTTGGATCCTACCTTCGTTTCTTCCTATACATCCAGGTTTATTTCCTAATATCTTTAATACATTTGTCCCAATAGTTTCTAAAAACTTGGGAAGTAAAACAAGTAGTGACTAGGGTGTAACAATCATTAAGAACAATAGAGGAGGACATTGACAGTGACTAAGAGTCGACGAAAAATCTGCAGCGAAAATGTGGTGTTACTGCCGGTTGGTTTACATGCCAATGTCTTATCTTTATGGGAAGAGATTCGTTGGTCCAACAAGTCCTCTTATTCTACAACTAAGGGAAGAAATATACTTACAACCTTATGCAGAAATAAACTGGAATAGAGCACGCCATCTATGTGCAAAGGTAAGATCGATTTTTGGTCTTCTTGAAAAATATAGTTTTTCGATTAAAAGGAAATTCACAGAAAACCTTCAAAGTTTATTCTCAGGAAGATGCGTACTATCCCCGTCCACTGGTTCAAGATGTTATATGGGACTGCCTTTACATCTTCTCAGAGCCGTTTCTTACTTGTTGGCCATTCAACAAGCTTCTTAGGGAAAAAGCTCTTGGGGTGACAATGAAACATATACATTATGAAGACGAAAATAGTCGTTATATCACCATTGGATGTGTTGAAAAGGTAAAAATGAATACAATCCCTATATATGCTGAAATGCCAGAGTACTCAGAATTTATCTTCAAGTTCACTGAAAACCTCAGATTTCTTTATCAAGGCATTATGCATGCTTGCATGTTGGGTTGAAGACCCAAACGGAATTTATTTCAAGAAGCATCTTTTGAGGATTTCTGATTACTTGTGGATTGCAGAAGATGGGATGAAAATGCAGGTATCAATGAAGATTTGGAATCTAATTGTTCTGTTACTAAATGGGAAATTCATAAAAAAAGAATTTTGAGACATGTAACTACTTCACAGAGCTTTGGAAGTCAATTATGGGATTCTGGGTTTGCCCTCCAAGCTTTAGTTGCAAGTAATCTCTCTAATGAAATCCCTGATGTACTCAGGAGAGGATATGAATTCCTTAAGAATTCTCAGGTTCGATATCCTCTGCATTATGAGGTTTTGTGACTTGAAATTATAAGAACAAGTGAACATGTCTTACGGAGCTGAAATTTTTGAAGGTTAGAGAGAACCCTTCGTCCGACTTCACAAGCATGCACCGTCATATCTCCAAAGGGTCTTGGACTTTCTCTGATCGGGATCATGGATGGCAAGCTTCTGATTGCACAGCCGAAGGTTTAAAGGTGATAGTTAGAATATTTCAATTTACTATAACGAATTTGGGTCAGCTTTCCACCTAATTGGCTCCACTTATCTTGCTTTACAGTGTTGCCTGCTGCTCTCGATGATGCCACCTGACATTATTGGTCCGAAAATGGATCCCGAACAGTTATATGAGTCTGTTACTATCCTACTGTCTCTACAGGTGAGCTTTTAATATCATTTAGAACACACACCCTCAAAAACTGCTGCTTCATGATAGGAATTTTTCTCTTGCTGCAGAGTAAAAATGGAGGTGTAACTGCTTGGGAGCCTGCCCGTGGACAAGAATGGTTGGAAGTAAGATCTAAATCCCAGCAAGATTTTGTATCACAAGGCTTGTCAGGCCCGGGTAAAGAAAATAACATCTCTCACTTTTTTTTTCTTGTTTCAGTTGCTAAATCCTACTGAATTTTTTGCTGACATCGTGGTTGAGCACGAGTACAATGAGTGTACTTCATCAACAATCCAAGCTTTGGTTCTGTTCAAGCAACTATACCCGAAGCACAGGACAGAAGAGATCAACAGTTCCATCAAGAAAGCCGTGCAATACATAGAGAACATACAAATGATTGATGGTTCATGGTACTATATATATTAGCTTTTAGACAAGTTGGAATTGTTCACAAATTTTTTAGGTATATACCAACAATTTCTTTGGATTGATAGGTATGGAAGCTGGGGAGTTTGTTTCACATACAGTACATGGTTTGGTCTGGGAGGCCTAGCAGCTGCTGGAAAGACGTACAATAACTGTTTGGCTATGCGTAAAGGCGTTCATTTCCTTCTCACAACCCAGAAAGATAATGGAGGTTGGGGTGAAAGCTACTTGTCATGTTCCAGAAAGGTAAAATCAACCAAATACCATTGCAATGTACGTGTCCTGCAGTTCAAGAAAAATATACTTGTTGGTTTGGTGTGTAGAGATACATTCCAAGTGAAGGGGAGAGATCAAACTTGGTGCAAACCTCTTGGGCAATGATGGGTTTACTTCATGCTGGACAGGTTCAGAACCGCGGAATGCTAAGAACTTTGTCTTCTTCACCATATATATAGTAAATATCTTTTTCATCATCCCCTTGAATTGTTTCTTCTAATCTCACGTTACAGGCTGAGAGAGATCCAACTCCTCTTCACCGGGCTGCAAAACTCTTAATTAACTCCCAACTAGAGAATGGCGATTTTCCTCAGCAGGTACTTCTGAAAACGTGAAATAAAATTAACATGAAACCCTCTCAAAAAATATTAATGTAGAAGCTTAAGCATAACAGTGTCGCTTGTCTCCAATTTTAGCTAGTTTGTTTGCTGTCTAACCATTCTTAGACACTAACACACACACACGAATACACACGGCAAACTAATATGCTTGAATCGATGCAAACTAAATCTTCCAAGTCACATGGGGTTTGCTATAGCCGAAATGTATAACTTATCATTAAAGAGTCCAAGTTGTATACTTAACAGGAGATAACAGGAGCTTTCATGAAGAACTGCTTGTTACACTACGCAGCATACAGAAACATCTTCCCAGTGTGGGCGCTCGCAGAGTATAGGAGACGAGTTCCATTGCCATACGAAAAACCTTGAAAAGAGAGAAGCTAAAGAAGATTCATCTTAATTTCAAACTCTTAATTAGGATCACTTTGTTACAACCTATTGTATTTATATGTAAGTGGCTGGTGTTTTCTACTGAATAAGCAAACTAATGATCAATAATTATACATACATGCATACACATTTTATTCATAAATGTACTATATTTATATGTACGTATACTAGATTAATCAAAATCTTCTCCACCAACAAGTAATCTCTTCGTTGTCTCTTAGTTTCTCTATCATCCAACTCCAGAAGTAACCACTAAATAAACCGATGTTTTTCGAATTGACAAGTAGGGAGGTTTGAGTATTAATTTGCTTTTCGTACGGTACATTGTTTGTTCTTAGCAGCTGTTGGTGGCTTAGCTATACACAAAGTCAGAAAGACGACAGAGGCTGGCGAGAAAGCTATACCTCTCATGCTCCAAAAAGGCACATGCTTACACGTTTCTATGAAATTAACTTGATGTAAGAGCATTTAGGCACTAGAATTCTCCTGATCTAAACAGAGATACACAGCACAAGAAGGGGATAAATCAAACCCCTTGTGCAAACTGAAGGGGACAGGTTTTAAACATTCCATATTCATTGACGAAAATACAAACAATGAATCAGCTCTATATTTGACTATTTTCTTACACAACAGAGCCCAGAGAGATCACTCTTGACCGTGCTGCAACTGTGGACTGGAGACTGTCCTCCACAGGTACACCTCCAAGCAGATCTAGCTTAATTCCATAACTATTGCTAGGCTCTCTAACCGTTTGGATCTTAGACGGCTCGGGTCACTAAAATTCCGCCATTGATATGCTCATAGACTTGGAAATTTCAAGGACTAATTGTAATTTGTTTTAATTACTTCTACAGCAAGCAACCATAATGTTTTTGATGAACCGCACAAACATTACACTATAACTTTTTTTCTTCTTTTCAAGCAAACTTGGGAATTCATTAACCTATAAAAGATTTTATTCTTTCAAAAGTTTAGATACACGTCAATCCAGCATTTGTTGTAGTAGTAGAAGTATCATCTTTTAAATTGTAGAGTTCTAGAACGTATTTTTGGTTATATGTCTATCGTGCATTGCAAGGCAAGTTTCAATTTCAAATGGTGATAAAGAGATATATATGTGATCGCTTAAATTTCGACCATTTGTTACTCATTTTCCAATATTCAACACGTTGGGGAAAAAAAAGTCAAACCACACAAATGAGTTTGTCTTGTAATTATCTGAAATTAGATTATCACCCAAAAATAAAACCCTGCCTTAAATAACAACCGTTAGAAAAAAGAAGAAACCCATTACAAAACCAGTTTTCCCCACATTATAATGCATCTATTTTTTTCGTTTCCTCCATAAAGAATCTTTGACCAATCGAACTCTTTTTTAACAATTGTGGGTTTTTTTATTTTTTCTGAAACCAAAGTGAAGTTGTTTCTTCAAGACTCGAGAGGGAGATTTCTGTTTTTTCCTTTTGTTTTTTTCGTTTTTTGTTTTTTTAATTGAAAAGGATCAGAAATCTTTATACTATAAGAATGTGGCTACCAAAGGCAAATGCGGCAAAGAAAGAAACAGGAAGTGGTTCAGTGGCAGTTGCAATAGACAAAGACAAAGGAAGCCAACATGCTCTTAAATGGACAATCGACAATCTTGCTTCTCGCGGCCAAACCATTTCTCTTATTCACGTCCTCTCCAAATCCCATTCTTCCTCAGGTCCCAATCTTCTCATCTTCGTATTAACTAGAGTTTCTTCTTGATGAATTTCACGGAAAAAAAGTTTGAATTTTGCTTCTACGTTTGTTGCAGATGTCGAAGAAGCAACGCCACAGCAGAAGCAGCAAGCGGAAAAGCTAGCGAAAGATCTCTTCGTATCCTTCCACTGTTATTGTTCCCGTAAAGAGGTATTCACTATTCAGAATCGAAAAACGTGATAAAGGGTTTAATCAGAATCGAACAAATTGTTCAAAAGTTTGGACCTTTTTGATTTCTTGGAGCAGATTAATTGTCGAGACATATTACTCGAAGACGCAGACAAAGTCAGAGCCATTGTCGAATATGTTTCAGCTTCCGCAATCGAGAATTTAGTCGTTGGAGCAGCATCACGTAATGGCTTCATGAGGTAAATTAACTTATCTTCTCCTTCTTTCAGATTTTGTAACAAAGTCTGGATTTTTTTTAAAAAAATTTCATCTGAGTTCTGTGCATTGTTTGATTTCTGAGCAGAAGATTCAAAACGGATTTGCCAACAACTGTGTCAAAATCAGCTCCAGATTTCTGCAATGTTTATGTCATTTCCAAAGGCAAAATCGCTTCAGTACGAAATGCATCTCGTCCTGCTCCTTACCAGAATTCGATGCAGCTCTCTGAATTTGACAATCAACACCCAATTACTCCTGAGAAAGTACCAAAGCACCACGACCATACCAATTCTGCAGGTTAAATTCCTTTTCCTCTTTTTTTTTTTTTCGAAAGTTGTTTACTTTTTCTAAAACTGATCCAACCTGGTCTTTCGTTGATTTTGGCGAACAGGTAGTACGCCGTCTAAGCCGCGTAAATCAGTTGAATCTGATGCTACAAGGTAGGAGCTTTGAAAAGCTATATAATATTCAACTCTTAAAGATTAAGTCTTTTTAACATTTTTTGTTCTTTGTAGATCTCCGTTAGTGAAACGACAAGGAATGATGAAGCCATATGGGGACTTATGTGATTCAGATAGCGACCTTTCATTCATCAGCCCTTCTTCTCATCGAGACTCTGACATTTCCTTCATCAGCTCAGGGAGACCCAGCGTAGATCGCTCTTCCTTCACCCTTGACTTTCCTGAATCCGGAAGGAGCTCAAGAATCTCAACCAGCTCAGAGCAAAGCATTGGCTCACATCGCTTGGGAATTAAGTTCAGTGATCCTGGTTTTCTTAATGGATCATCCACATTCTCTGAAGAAAGCGGTAGAACATCTTCGTATTCATCTCAAAGCTTGGTTAGTATTACTCAAAAACCCGTTCTCTTTTCTTTTTCGTTCTTTTAATAATACAAGAAATATTTGCTTAGTTATATGGTTTTGGTGTTGTTGCAGGATGATGTTGAAGCTGAAATGAAGAGGCTGCGTCTAGAGCTCAAACAAACCATGGATATGTATAGTACAGCCTGCAAAGAAGCTTTAAGTGCTAGACAACAGGTAATAAATACTAGGCCTAAGGCATTTGAAACTTCGGTTTGGTTCCGTTTAGTTGAATTGTACATTAGTTTACTTGACACTAATGTCTATTTCAATGTAGTGGAAGGAGATTGGTACATCTAATTTGAATTTTTTTTCTTTTGAACATTTAGGCGACGGAGCTGCAAAAGCTGAGAACCGAAGAGGAAAGACGATTGGAAGAAGCAAAGAGTTCAGAGGAAGCAGCAATGTCAATAGTGGAAAAGGAGAGAGCTAAAGCGAAAGCAGCCTTGGAAGCGGCAGAAGCTGCAAAGAGATTAGCAGAAGTGGAAGCTAAGAGAAGATTGACCGCAGAGATGAAGACGTTGAAGGAATCAGATTCCTTCTCTCGCGGATTTGTTCGGTATAGGAAATACACTGTTGAAGAAATCGAAGAAGCCACTTCAAATTTTGCAGAGTCTCAAAAGGTAGGAGAAGGAGGCTATGGTCCTGTGTTTAAGGGCTTTCTTGATCACACAAGTGTTGCTGTTAAAGTCTTACGCCCGGATGCAGCTCAAGGAAGATCACAATTTCAGAAAGAGGTAAAGGGAAGGGAAAAAAAAAAAACAACTTTCAAGAAAGTCATCGTTTTTGATATTATACAAGAAAGTTAAAGTTTTCATCTTTGAGAACATATATATGTTGATGTATTGCAGGTGGAAGTATTAAGCTGCATAAGGCATCCAAACATGGTGCTTCTTCTTGGAGCTTGTCCAGAATATGGGATTCTTGTTTATGAATACATGGCCAAAGGAAGCTTAGAAGACCGGCTCTTCATGCGAGGCAACACGCCGCCAATTACTTGGCAGCTGCGTTTCAGAATCGCTGCTGAGATCGCCACAGGACTGCTCTTCCTCCACCAGACCAAACCGGAACCAATTGTTCACAGAGACCTGAAACCGGCGAACGTTCTTCTCGACTACAATTACGTAAGCAAGATCAGTGATGTCGGGCTAGCGAGATTGGTCCCTGCAGTAGCAGAGAACGTTACACAGTACAGAGTCACTTCAGCTGCAGGAACATTCTGTTACATTGATCCTGAGTACCAACAAACCGGAATGTTGGGTGTGAAATCAGATGTTTATTCGCTGGGGATCATGCTTTTGCAGATATTGACCGCGAAACAGCCGATGGGTTTGGCTTATTACGTGGAGCAAGCAATAGAAGAAGGGACTCTAAAGGATATGCTTGATCCAGCAGTACCGGACTGGCCTATGGAAGAAGCTATGTGTTTAGCAAAGCTTTCGCTTCAATGCGCGGAGTTAAGAAGAAAAGATAGACCGGATCTTGGGAAAGAGATATTGCCTGAGCTCAATCGGTTAAGAGATATCGGTGAAGAGAGTTTAGAGAGTGTGTTCTATGCAGGAAGGTCTCCAAACACTAGCCAAGTCTCCATTTCATCAACTGTGAGTTTTCTTTATTTGTTTCCCTGAAACCTCTCACAAAGGTTTGAATTTTTTTGTGTGGCAAAATTTGGTAACGGTTTTGTCTTTTTGGCAGAGTGATCCTTTTATATCGAATTCAGAATCTCCAGCTACAGAATCTCATTCCTAGTTTTGAGATGGAGAAAGCAATTTGGTAATATTTTTAAGAGTCAGATGATGTTATTAGTGAAATTTTGTTCATATGTGGAATCATCTTGTTGAGTTTTATCACTCAATTTTGCAGGAGTTGATTAAAATAACAAGAGCAAGTTTCCTTTCTTTACTGGTTTGATGGAACATCAGAAAACTGAAGAAGAAAGAAGTTAGTGTAGAGCTTAGAAAGTTTATGTTCGGTTAAAAAGATCGATATTGTAACGGTCTAATTACTAGGCCCATGTTTAGGCCCACCAAGGCCATGCTCCGTTCACCTGGAACTGTGAGTCTGTGAGTGATATTAATAATCAAACATTTATTAAAAATCGATAAATAATGTAAATGCCCAATGGTCAAACCGGTTTTATTAAACCGGAATTGCGAGTTTTAAATTAAATTGTACAACACTTGGAAATAAAATGGACTTAAACACGTAGCTACAGATAAAAAGATGTATTCAAACTATTACGAATGATAAGATGATTAAATATCTTTTAGTTCTATTTTGACACCGTTAAAAAAATTACATACTTAATTTTCATTTATATTTATTAATTCTTGATTTCTACTATCAAATTATAAGTTATAACTACCTAATATATATGTTACACCTTTTTTTTCTTTTGTTGAAGGTATAACATAGTGTGGATTAAAAGAATACATCTTTTTTGTAGTTTTTATTGTTTTTGGTTATTTTTGTTTAATATATAATAAAAACAGATGAATTTTCTATAAAAAAACATATGTTTCATGAAAAATATAGGTTCTATAATCATGTAAACGAAAAAATCATATTTAAAAATTGTGCACAAACAATTTTGTTTTCTCTTACTTCTATACTTTTAAATCTTTTAAGCTGGTTTTGATTTCACAATCGTTTATGAATTCGGTAAAAATAATTTTTGGATCCGCCACTGCATCAACCATTGCAACCAAGTCCTCTTCTTCTTCGGTTGGTGGTGTCTTATTCTTCCCACTCAATACTTCTTGTGCTACCTCAATTGCTACCAGACAAAGCTAAAACCACAACTACAAAGCTACCTCAATTGTTCTTCTTCCTCACTCTTCACTCACATCAACCATTGCAGCCAAGTCCTCTTCTTCCTCAGTTGGTGATGTCTTCCTCTTCTCACTCAACACTTCCTTCACTATTGCTTTGTTTTCATCCGCAAGCTTCTTCAAGAGTTTATCCTTGGTCTGTTTCGGACAGGTTCCTGATCTTCTTAGGGCTCTTTTTTTCTTTGTTCTTCAATCTTTGAAGTTCCTTCTCTAAGAGTTGCAGAGCAGAAGGCTTGAAAACTTGATGTGCACCATATTTAGCTCTGACCATCTCTTCGATGTAGTGGGAAGGCACATCTACAGCAAGATTCTGGTTTGTGAATAAGTCCAGGCTGATTTCACTCTATTCATATGAGCAGGGCCGGATCTGAGAATTTGGGGGCTATAAACATTTAAGAACAAATTTTTTTTTTGTAATTTGGGAGCCAAAAAATTTGCATATAACTTAAGAAAAATTTTGGGGGTTGTAACCGAATGTTTCATCAGACTGTCTCCAGATCCGACCCTGCATATGAGACTTCAATGTTATGGAGAAAACACCCTTAAAAGTGTGGATATCGGTAATATATCGGTGAAGAGAGTTTAGATAGTGTGTTTTATGTAGGAATGTCTCTAAACACCAGCCAAAATCTCCATCATCTATTATGAGTATTTTTGTTTTTTCATCTATTGCAAAAAAATTTTTTGGGCTTCTTTTTGAAATTTTTTTTCTTATAACGATTTTGTTTTTTTCTGGCAAAATGATCATTTTATATTGAAATTTGGAATCTCCAGCTGTAGAATCTCATTCCTAGTTTTGAGATGGAGAAATCAATCTGATATTTTTTTTTACGAATCAGATTATGTTATAAGTCAAAAAAAATTTCCATATTTGGAATCATCTTGTTGAGTTTTAACACTCTATTTTGCAGGAGATAAATAAACCGGTTTTACTAAACCGGAATTGTGAGTTTTAATAAATTAAATTGTACTACAGTTGGAAATAAATTAAAATTGACTTAAACCCGTAGCTACAGCCTACAGATAAACCCTGCAACGGCTTTTCTTCTTCTTCTTCTTCTTCTTCTTGGTGTGGGTACACGAAGCAAAGTAGCGGACTTTGTCTTCTCCACGATGTTTATGGAGCTTTTTATTCACACCTCTTGCAATTTCGAAATCCTAACTTTGATTTCTCCTCCTTTACAATCTCGTAGTCGTAACTTTGGTTCTAACTTTCTCTCCCTCCCTCCTCGCCGCGTAACCATTTTCCCAGCTTACCATGGTGGTCGCGTCGCTGTGTCAGCCTCGTTTCAGGACGGAGATTCAAGCCCTAGCTCTAATTCTTCGCAGACTAATCATGAGGACCATTTCTCTCTCGCGCAGAATTCCATTTCTGGGTTTCTCCAACAAGAGGTTGGACTCTCCGAGGCCGATTCAGATTTCATTTCTGAAAACTCTCCTAAATACACGCGGATGATCGTAGAGGGTGTTAGGGATTTGGAAGAATGGAATTCGTGGAAGGGGAGTGGAGAATCAGAGGGTTTAGGGTTTAAAGAGAAAGTGATATATATGGTGAAGCAGAAGGGTGATGGTGGCAAAGTTTCCTTCTTGGAGAGTCTCAAATTAAGTTTGTCGTCTGCAATGTATTTGGCTCATTACCTCTCCTCTGAATCACTCCCGAAACTTCTCGATAAGGTATTGAACAAATGGTTTGGTTTCTTGACATTATATTAGCACTTATACAGATACGGTAGGAGAAAGAAATTTTCGGATTTTGCATCAAAAGCGATTTGCTAGTGTTGTATGATTGAGTTAGGTTGGATTTGGATTTGGATTTGGCATGGTACTTAATCTTGGATTTGGATTTTAGGTTAAGTACCTGAAGGAAATATTCTTTTCTGGCAGTGATGAGAAAGGTCCTGTTGGAAAGTATGCACGACGAATGATGCTCTACTTATCCATTCCTATTGATGAAGATGTGCAGCAAACTCTATCCTTTTTTGAAAAGGTTTCGTCTTTCCTCAGTTCTTTAGTACTATGTTCTTAGAAGCACTATCTTCTTTAGTAAGATGAATGTCAAATGTCCCTTAGATTGAAGCAAGACGTGGAGGCTTGGACATGCTGGGCTCTGTAGATGCATCTTTCAGATTCTTAATCGAGTCATTCCCTCGGCTTCTGCTACTCTCAGAAGAAAACGATATGAAGCCTTTGGTAGAGTTTCTTGAAAGCATTGGTATTCCTAAAGATTGCTCTGGAAAGGTACTTCTCTTGTACCCTCCTATCATGCTCAGCAAAACTGAGGAGATTAAAAGAAGGGTAGCCGCATCTCTGGAAAAGGTATGCTAGCTGATTGATCTTACATAATTAGCATGTAGCTGTATCTGTTTTCTTGTGGTTTCTGATTATTGCGAATTGGGGTTGAATCGGTTCAGGTTAGTGCAGTGGATAAGGATTCTGGAAAAGTGTTGATGAAGTATCCGTGGATTCTTTCACCGAGCATACAAGAACACTATTCGCACATCGTCTCATTGTTAGAGAGTGAATCGGTAAGCTTCGTTTTGAAAAGAAATTAATACATTTTCGAGTTCAGGCCAGCCCTGACATTGATACGAGAAATTGGTGGTTCTGTGTTGGTTTCTTTGGTCCTTTAATGCTCTTGACAAAATTAAGATGATATAGAACTGGAGTCAACTCCTCTTTGGGTTCATGACTACAGTAAAACTGTTCTCAGTAATCTAATCTATGCTGCTAAGTTGTCTTTTATTATCCTGGTTCCATGATTAGTCTTACTGAAGACATTATGATTTTTATTGCCTTAGGTGCTCAAAATGGATATTGACCACGCAATTAGGAGATGGCCTTTACTCCTTGGTTGCTCAACGAGCAATATGAAGTTGATGGTAAAGGAATTTGATAAATTAGGTGTTAGAAATAAAAGGATGGGAAAGGTTATACCGAAGATGCCTCAGCTTTTGCTATGCAAACCACAAGAATTTCTCAAGGTTAAGAAATTACCGATTTCAGAAGATGTGTATTCTTTCATTCTATTTGATTCTGCAAGATTGTTTCTTTAACTTACCTGATTTTCTCATCGTGTAACAGGTTGTGTCATTTTTGGAAGATTTGGGATTCCAAAAGGAAATCGTGGGTCAAATACTCTGTCGATGTCCGGAGATATTTGGCTGCAGCATCGACAAAACCCTGCAGAAAAAGCTCATCTTTCTCACTCGTTTCGGTGTCTGCAGTACCCATTTTCCACGAATTATAAAGAAATACCCAGAATTTCTCATATACGACGTAGAGAAAACAGTACTTCCTCGGTATCTATCTCTCAGCCAATGAATGCATCAACTCAGTGAAATCTTTCTTTAGCAAGACCCCTAATTTTGTAATCATTTGCTCTTGCAGGCTAGAGTACCTGATGGATATTGGGATATCAGAGAGGGAGATTGCCTTCATGATTCGTAAATTCTCACCGATATTAGGATACAGCATCGACAAAGTGCTTAGACCCAAGTTGGAGTTTCTGGTAAACAGCATGGAGAAACCGGTTAAAGAGGTAATAGATTACCCGAGGTACTTCAGTTATTCGCTGGAGAAGAGAATAAAACCACGGTTTTGGGTACTCAAAGGGAAGAACATAGAATATACATTACACGAAATGTTAGGAAAAAACGATGAAGAGTTTGCTGCTGATTTCTTGGGTTTAGGGGAGCTTCAAACTCACAATGAAAGTGAAACCTCTTAGATTATAGGCTAAAAGTTTCTTTGAGAAAATCACTGTGTTATGAGATTGGTGATATCTCTGAAGCTTCTTCAGTTTTGTTTGTATCCATTTGTTCATATAGCTGCTAGTGTATTTACTTGTACTGTTCTTGTATACAAAATTGAATCAAAGTCTACACTTTTTAATAAGAAAAAAATGATGTTGATATTTCATTAAGGGTGTATGTAAGTGTATGGATTGTTTTGAGCGGTTGCAAAATTTTCTTACCTTTTAGCTTTTTACACTTTTTAATATCCAAAATCTTGGTTTTTGGCTATTATAGAAATAAGAGTTGCATCTCACTTAAACAGCCTATAGATTGGCAGCACTAATATATTGATCCGGAAAAAAAAATGAGATCATTTAAACAGAAAAAAGTTATATTTATATATTTATCAGTAAAGAAAAGGGCATGAATCTCCACATTTCCAACTGAAAACGGTTTATGGCCTTTTTTTGTATGGGTCTGAAAACAGAGGGAACTATATGCGAAGATGGTAACTTCATTCATATTCTGAAAACTCTCAGGAATATTCAAAAATTATTTATTCATCTCTTCGCGTTTGATGAACATGATTGTTGTGAAAATCATTGATCAAGAGAGTGATTGATTAACAGCGGAAAGATCCTCATCGATTTAAGTATTCATCTCTTCGCGTTTGATGAACATGATTGCTGTGAAAAATCATTGATCAAGAGAGTGAGTGATTAACTGCGGAAAGATCCTCATCGATTTAAGTATTAAGGAAAATGGGCAACGCTATAGGCAACGCATCAACCGATATCGGAAGTTTTATTGGCAATGTATTAACTGCACCTTTCAAAGCCACACTTGGAAGATCCTGTCTGTAAGATTTTCACGCTATCATCGTTTTGAATGTTGTCTGAATTAAGACCCGAGTTGTCCACAATCATTGGCCTGCTTGATTTTCGATCGTTATTTTTGATCTTTTTGTTTTGTCTTGTTGGTTTATTACTTACAGAAATGTATGCTCGGGACCATGGGATCTTTCATGTTTCATAGAACATTTCTGCCTTCCTGATATTGCGAAGCTGGTCATGATCTCAGCCCTCTGTTTCATAAGTAACCGTTCTCCTTCTCTTTTCTATATTTTAAGTAATTATTATATATTATTCTTTCAACTTTTCTTTTTCGGATAATTTTATCACGCAGTTTTGATGTTCATCACCCTCTTGTTCAAGCTTGGGATCTGCCAATGTGTTGTTAAAAGCATATGCAAAATGTCTTGTGCCGCTTGTGCAATGTACTGGTGCGCCATTGGAGAGATGATTCGTTGCTTGTGGTACAATTTGAGGAACACTAAACGTGTCTACCGCAGAAAACGTCTCCGTGACATAGAAGCCGCGAGTTACTATTACCCAAGCGACGACGAACCAAGTTCAACGAACAGTCTCAGCCCCACACACAACATTAGACCAAAGCAGAGGAGAAGAAGAAGAAGACAAGGAAGCAAACACAACCACAATCGTGGCAGCAACCGCCGCCTCACAAGGCTACGGAGTAGACAATTGTCTGTACGAGTAGGAGGCAAATCAAGAAGAGTACGAAGTGCTAGAAAAATGAAATCTAGTAAAGTGAGAGTTAAGAAACTCCTTAAAGTCAAAGATGTAGTTGATTAAAATGTCTCTACCATTGCTTAAAAGTGTCACTAAACTCAAAAACAGAAACATCTCATTTATTATTCAGATGAAATGAAACACAAAACCATGAATCCATGTGACTCAATCATAATCATAACCAACCTCTCTCTCTCTCCCTATCTCTATGTATATGTGCAAGAGACGGTCTTTAGGGTAAACAAACGGCAATGGATAGGTAACGGTTCTCTTTCAGAGGAAAACCGGAGCCATGACAAGAGTTATAGTTGCGAGCATTTTGATGAGCACGTGAATGGAGGGACCGGCTGTGTCCTTGAACGGATCTCCCACACTGAAATTTCAAATGAATACTTATGAGAAAATCACGTTAAGGGATAAACCATTTACTGAGACTATTATTTTTTTTTTAAGAAAAATGAATTGCTTACGTATCACCAGTCACGGCTGCTTTGTGGGCTTCACTTCCTTTGCCACCGAGTGCACCGGTCTCTATGTATTTCTTTGCGTTGTCCCAAGCACCACCCGCCGTGTTTAGGAAAAGTGCCATTAAGATACCACAAACTGTTGCAAACATGAGCATAGAAGCTACAACTTTAGCTCCAAGTAGAGGTTGTCCCGTGTAGTATCCCAAGATCCGGAACACTATACCTGAGAGAGAACAAGAGGTTTGTTTTGGTCACAATCTTCTGGATTCAACACGAGAAGAAAAATCAGACTAAAAAGCATTACTGACTTACCAACTACAATGGGTGATGCGATAGCTAAAGCTCCTGGCTTTATCATTTCCCTCAAAGCTGCAGATGCGACGATGGCAACACAGCGACTATAATCTGGCTTCTCCTTGTACTCCTGATACATGAAGTTTGTTTTGCTAGTCAACAACGACAAGCTAATAAACATAAAAAAGGAGAAATCGCTTGAAAATAAAATATATGCTCACCATTATGCCAGGTCTCTCAATAAATTGTCTTCTTACTTCGTTAACAACCTCTTGTGCAGTTCGACCTACCGCTGCGCATGCCCAAGCACTAAAGAGGAAAATGAGCATGGAACCCAATAATCCACCTACAAAGACTTCTGGAATAGCAATATCAACCTGTTTTGATCCAAGGATGAGGACGAGCATGAGAAGCTGTCTGAACATGGAGACTACAGAAAAGATATGCAATAACTTTTACCTCTTTGAAAGGCACATTAGCAAACGCTGAAACCTCGTCCATATACGCACTAAAAAGAAGAAATGACGCAAGTGCAGCAGATCCAATGGCAAACCCTTTTGTTGTTGCTTTCGTGGTGTTCCCAACAGCATCAAGAAGATCAGTGATCTCACGGACACTTTCTGGCTACACGAAACAGTAATTATATCTACATTAGTATAAAGATAAAACAGATGAACCTTCGGAACCAATCATGTGACATTTACCTGCTGGCTCATCTCGACAATCCCACCAGCATTATCAGCTATGGGGCCAAACATGTCCATAGTAAGCACATAAGCTGCAGTGCTTAGCATTCCCATTGTAGCAACAGCTGTTCCAAATAGACCTCCAGTGGGGGTTCCATTTTCATCCACGAGTCCCGAGGTATTGCCCAGCCAATAAGCAGAAATAATAGCAACACTTATAACCAAGACAGGAAGAGCTGTCGATTCCAGACCCAAGCTGACACCAGCAATTATATTGGTCCCATGACCAGTCGAACTAGCAAGAGCCAACGTCCTAACAGGCTCATGCTTATAGTCTGTATAATATTTGGATATCCAGACAAAGGCATAGGCTGTGATGATGCCAACCAACCCACATAGGGCGAAACTGAACCACGCAGATGGAGCTTGTTCAGTGTAAAGCAGCCAGCGAGTGGACTACAAAACATAAAAAAAAAAAAAGATGTCAGAAGAAGATATCATAGAATTCGTTGAAAATTACAGTAACAACAAGGATCTCACAAGCGTAGATGTGCACTTATGTGCATGTGTGCTTAAAATCAATGATAAGTCCGAACCAAAAAACACATAAAGCAGTATTGATTGTCAAAAGTAATAGAAAGAAGAAAACAAGCAATGGCTTGTGTAGACCACATTACCGCGCCAAATGTCAAAACAGCTAATATAATAGTCAGAGAATATCCTTTCTGAAGTACAGCCATTGGATCCTCTACTGGAGATTTAACGCTAGCATCACGCGTTCCCTTGATTGATAATATACCAATTGATGATATTACCAAGTCAAAAGAATGAACAACCAGAGGAAATAGGATAAAGCCTGATGGATCTGCGTAATAGATAAAAACTTGAGTAAGCATCAAGCATGAGTACTAAGAGGTTAGAGAGATGTTTATAAACACATATTTTTTATCATTCAATGTTTTTCCTACCTCTCGTACTTAAATTGCAAAATCCTCTATACTAGTTCAACCACCACCGCTAGAAATGGCCAGGTAATTTTATTATAAAACTTCACGTAGTCAAGTGTAACTTTCACTAAATATGTCATGAAAAGAAGTCTTTCTTCAATCTACACATATTCCTACAAGGTATTCTAAGCGACATTCATTCGACTTTTGAAATCCTAATGAGTAGTGAATGTAACTCAAGGCGTCAAGGATATAGTGACCAAAACAAACCATAAAGCGTAGATTATATTTTTTGACAGCAGAAATGCAATTTTATGACCGAGTTAACTACACAATTTCTTGAACTCAAAACCATGCATCAGATATATTTCATGAACTCAAACCATACATCAGATATAATTCATGTGAGAAGTAACTTTAAAGAGAGACCCCCGACAAACCTTCAATTTTGCACTTCTTAGCCATTGTTCCACCTAGTATCATTGCACTGATAATTTCTGCTGCTATACTTTCAAATAAATCAGCACCTCTAGCAGCACAGTCCCCCACATTGTCTCCAACCTATAAGAAGATGAAAATACTTTTACAAACCTAAATGGCGAAACAATAACCTATAGTTTTTTTGTAATCTGACGGCATCAGTGTACTACTGAGCGTACACTTAAAATCGTGAAAGTAAGAGCCAAAAAGGACAACGATGGCATACCAAATCAGCGATAACAGCAGGATTTCGAGGATCATCCTCGGGAATACCCTGCTCAACTTTTCCAACGAGATCTGCCCCAACATCAGCTCCCTTGGTATAAATTCCACCACCCAACTGAGCAAATAAGGCAACAAACGAAGCACCAAAACCATATCCAACGAGAAGAAGAGGCACTGTAAGAGAAGCAAAAAGATTTAATCAATAATCTATCAAGTCAATATTTCATGAAAAACATTTTTGTCCGCCTTCCACAGATGAGTAAATAGGTTGACTTCTCAACTGAAGTCGTAACATAATTAAGAAAATACTGCTCATCTCTTAAAATGATCTTTTAAAAAGATAAAAGTAATCTTTTGAACTCAGTACGATGATGTATAGAGTATGCAGACAAAAATGAAATTAAATTTCATAGAAAGCAGTTCAGAGAACTTACGGTCAGTAACATTCATTGCGCCTGGTGAATCCACTCCCAACCAAACATAAAATGTAGAGTAAAGAATGGCGATACCAATCACAGCCATACCAACAACAACCAGGGCTGAAAACCCACCAGCACGAACGGCTATCTGCATTATATATGCCACTTAGTTTTTGGCGATATGTTAAAGTCGTGCTAAAAAAAGCTAAACTGAAAAAGAACCTGCAATGCTTCTCTTGCAGAACGTCTAGCAGCACTGGAGACCCGCACATTAGCACGAACTGACACCCACATTCCAACATATCCAGCAATACCTGAGCATAGCGCCCCCAAAAGAAATGCAGCAACAGTAATATAGGCAGACATCGCCCTGCAGAAAACGGTAATATAAGCTAAGTATCATTCACAACAACAGAAAAAGATAAAACAAAGGTTTTGTATGTAATCATGTATCACCACCTTCCCAAACCAGCAGCCTCTTGCTGGGGAGTTAAGTTACGGAAAAGATATATGCAAAGAATCACAAAAGCTAGCAAGATGGCCATCTTGGATATAGTGCTGTACTGCGTTCTGAAAAACCCTTCAGCTCCATCACGTATAGCATCTGATATCTAAAAGTAAGAGAATTACGACACATATTAGAATTAAGAACGCTTGATGAAAACAAAGAGTACAAGAAGCCAACATCATGACTAACACCACATATATTGGGTGAGCTTACCTGAACCATCTCTGGAGGCCCTTCATCTTTCGCTAAAACCCACTTGGTTAGATACACTGACAAGAGGAAGCTGAAGATGCATACTGCGAAGACGAACACGATGATCGGAGAAGTACTTGCTCCCATGTAAAAGATAGCTCCAAAGCAGAGTAGTAGAAGTATCGAAAGAACACGAACATTCAATTTCCTAAGAATCCGGAAAATCTGCCAAAAAACAACTCAGGCTCTTACGATTTTTCAAAAGAGAGGAAAACAGAAAAAGCTCAAGAAGATAAGAGAAATAAAAAGCAACCAGTTATAACATCACACAAGGTCTTAATGATCTGACGCAACCAATGAGAAAAGTACTCAACAAAGAGAGGAATAATAGGTTTACCAGTGGACTGTAGGTTTTGCTACGCATGTTGGGAAAAGCACGCGGCCTGTCATTGAAAGACATCAAACTGGCCTGCTCAATATCTTCATCCATCATCATGTTTTGAGCTGAATTTGCCCTCCGGACTATGGGTAGAGGCGTGAAATCAGTGCTATGGGGCAAATCCGCCCCAGAACTTGGACGTTGAATTTTGATATAATACAAATTTTCTTCCAAATGTTAACACCACCTCATAAAACGAGCACAATTTAGTACGAACCCTCTAAGTCTAGCTATATCTTGATTCCAGCTTCTTCAAACTTTCGCAGTCAGTAACGAGCAAGAGTTGTCACAAATTAAGTTTCCACCATAATCAGATTTTCTGAAGAAAAAAATATAGAAAGTATTAATTCTTGATGTATCTCTTCACCAACCAAATAGCATTTTCAAAATTAAATTTAAATCAGACT